TTAATAGCAAATTTACAAATTTTTGGTGCGGGAATTCTATCTGAGCCAGGCGATTTGGCAGGCTTCAGCCGGAATAGCTCGGCCCTAACTATGGTAAATGACAAGAGTGGTTCCTCGGTTAAGGAGGGTAGAGAGGGGATAGGAGGGGGAAGGGTACTGGAAGGAGAGGTTGGTTGGCGAATGGATGGATGGGCAAATATTGAACTAGGTTCTCGGATGAAAACGGACTGAAAGAAGTCGGAAAGCAGGGACGCTTTAACCTGGTCATCAGTCTCCACTTTTCCATCTGAAGACCTAAAAGCAGGGATCAGTTCCTGAGTCCTCTTAGTAATTCTTATATAACCATATAGAATTTTCGGATGCTCCAACGGATTTCGCAGTATGCTCAGTTCAAACGTCTTTCGCAGCTTTGAGGCCTCAATTTTGCAAGCGTTTCGTTGCCGCTTGTATTCCTTTAAGTGTTCTTCGGAGCCGGTTAATGAGTAACGCCACCACAGACGTTTCTTTTTTCTGAATGAGCCTTTAAGTCCGAGTTTATCCATTTTGGGCGGTTTGTGATTGTCTTTCTTCTGAGAGGACAATTGGAATAAACAAGCTCTTTCAGTAAGGACCTGAAAGTATTTCAGTTGTCGTTTTCTCGACCATGCAGTTCAGTCTCCCATGATATAGCTGCCGCTTTCCTCCTCATGAGAGTGTAGTGCCCTTCTAAAATGCTTCTCTCCTACTTATCGGGTTGAACGGGTTTGGAAAACAGTGAGTACTCGAAGTAGAGCGTGATGTAGTCGTTTGACCCTAATGGCGGTCGGTACAGCAGATCTAAAATATTTTCCTCCCCTCGGGTAAAAATAAGATCAAGGCATTTCGACTGCTGTCCTTCCCTGAACCGTGTCCCAAAGGTAACATTCTGGCAGAGAAGTTAGTCGGTTGCCCATTGAAGTATTTTGTGATTAAAGCTGTCTTCCGGTCCTTGTGCAGCCCACGTTAGCCAATCAATGTCAGGAGCGTTAAAATCCCCAACGATAAGGATATCTTTCTTTCTACTGACTTGGTTAAGTTCAGTTAAGAGCATGAGATCTTGGTCAGAGGTATGGTTAGGTGAGTGGTACACCACCGGAAGCGTCAGTGATCAGACATTCTTAGCAGATATGGTAACGCTTAGCAGTTCCACATCCCTTACCAGACTATGTACATCAGCCCTAGCGCTCAGCTTGCAAGTGACATAAATTAGGACTCTCCCTCCTCGGCTATGTCTGTCTCTCCTGAATTGCTGATATCCTCTGATGATATTTCTGAGTCTGCGATATCTTCAGTAAGCCACGTTTCTGTGAATGCCATATTGTCCGGCTAATTTTCCTCAACTAAGTCTCTTAGTTCGTCCAGTTTGTTGAAGGGGCTTTGCACATTTGCGGAGATAACCTTCAACGAATGTTTCGTTGGAGAGGCCCGGCCTTCAATGTGACAGGTTCTGACCACAGGAAAGACCTCGTTGTCTGAACTATTTGTCCATTTTTGATCTTCAGCCCTTTCTCTCCTCTGCCAATTCTCTCCTTCAATTCTGATCTGAGTTCTCTCATTTTCAGTCTTTCCCTCGGTTCGTAGCCTGATTCAAAGAACACTTCCTTGTGCGAGTTGCGTAAGGTCGTTCTACGTTCTAACAGAAGCGCTGCTTGGGCTTCGTTTTCCAAAATAACTTTCAGGGGTCTTGGGTATATTTTTAGGTCACAATCTGGGTCCGCTTTGCCTAATCGGAAAGCCTTTTTAACGGTGAATATTTCCCCATCCTGCAGAACGGCACTGGCAAACTGATGAAGATGGTCTAGGTCGTGCGTCACTCGCTCCTTCGGAATGCAGGACGTGGACTCTGGGGCGCCCCTTATGACAATATTTTGCTTACGATTTATTGAAGAGCTCATCACTGTCCCGTCTGCGCTAGGACGATATAATGCTACTGTAGTATTCCCGAAGGATGTTGGCACTTCGGCATTTGAATGATTTTTGGCCGGCGAAGGAAGTTTAGGGCGTGGATTTTCATGTGACGTACTTGCTCCTGCAGTGGTGCTCTCACAATCATTACCCTTTTGCAATGTACTGCACGAAGGCTTATCGTGTCCTTTTCCATAAACGGAATGGTAAGGGCACTTTCCAGATGAGTTAGCCTTGTGACGAAGTGGAGTAATAGCGTTGCCTTCCAAGAATAACGGCGAGTCCTTGTAGTTTCTAACAGATCTTCTGAGGGTCACCCTTGCTTTTCCAACTTTAGTGTTCGATGATTTGGCAGGTTTAGTTACTATAGCAGGTAATGGAATCTGACTTATTTTTAATGCATTAGCGTCGACCGCCACGTTATCCACCGGAACTGATTTGTCTGGGGTTGCCCCTTCTGACATATCTCGTATCCAGGTCAGCTTTTTCTGTGACCTTGAGAAAATTCCATCTGGATTTAAAGACGTCGTCACTTTATTGCCGTTTCCGCTCACATTTGCTTCCCTGTATATGGCTTCGCATTCTATGATCTGCCATCAAAATTTTCGTTTTTTTGTGTCCTCAGTTCATTACTCGTGTCCTTCACAGAACGCCATGTCCTTCCTGACAGATTCTCTCAAAGAAGTAATGGCGCGGATTGACGGGCGCGGTCTAGGCCGCCTCAGTTTCGCTGATCGCCGACCCTCAACAGAAAATCAGTCTGGCCTCGGAGATTTCGTGCTCTCCGTCGCAATCGGTGATTTCGCGGTTTAAAATGTCATCCCTTCATTTCGACCCCAAGCGGTATGTTGACGGTCACGGCGGAATCTTCTGTTTTCGCCACCTGCAAGTAGTTTGATCGATCAGCAAAGAGGTTTCATGGTCGCATCTCTCCTCTACGCTTTGACGATTGTAATAGCTCTTAACGTCCCCTCCCCGGCTGAACTCCAAACGGAGTGCGGCTGATCTCGTCTTGGTTCCTCTTGTCTCGTCGCTTTGAGGCGGCTAGTCTGATCCTGTCCGAGAATTCTACCATTCCCATGACCGTTTTTAATCCCTTATACACTACCATATGCAGGCCAGCCCTGCCCGATCCGCATATTTACCCATTCGTGACTGGCAGCTACTTCTCCTTGGTCCTTGGACGAGAGAGGGAACGGAAGAAGGCTCGCTCTAAAGTAATTCGAGATAGGCCAACAGAAGGACGCACCTGCAGAGTGACAACTGCCGCTAATATTTGGGCTGTTTCAGACACGTGAGTGGGCAGATCGGGGATAGTGGATGACGCGAGATCTGAGAAACCTTGGAAGAAGATAGGTACTCAAACTCCATCAAGCAGTCGGCGAATTCAGCTAGTTTCGAGATGTCTAGGTCCTCAGAGACGGAGACAAAGATGATCTGAACAGCTATTACCAGGCGTCTCAAGTGAGAATTTGGAATAAATATACAAAGGACGAAGTATTTGATCGTTAGGCTAACGAGCGCAAAGCAGGTATCTGTCTCCCGGAGTTGCGCCGGATTTTTTAAAATCAACAAGCGTGTTAAAGAATCGTGACCTGATTGCTAAATGTGAGAGTTATTAAGACATTTGGACGCATTTTGAATAACTATCGAAACGGCTTAAAATTCAAATGCTCAACAGAATCGGTAGATTTTAATATAGTTTACGTGGTGCTGATAGTGGCTTATGATCAATTTTTAAGCTCATCTTCCGAGGATACGCGCCGAACTGTTCAGTTCCCAGATTAGTGCACGTGTTCCGTAAATGAGTCCTTCACAGCGTGCACTTAAACACCGTTCTCTGTCATCTATTTCTGCAGTCAGTAGGATAGTTTTCCTATTTCGTTCAATCCAACTCTTATATTGCGCCTCTTTGTACGTTTATAGATTTTATTTGATTTTTCTGTTTTTTCTCTCCTTTCCTGCTCATTAACAATTGAGATTAAATCCACAATAGGCGCTATTGCAGGCAGTCATCGTGACCAGTCTGGCGCCATTGTCCAAAGCCTCGCTGCCTCAAGGTCAATTGCCCCTTGCAGCTGGCAATTCCGGACTCGCTGACTCGAAGCCGCTCGACCGATTTCAGCTCGGACACACCTGCGTCCACACAGTTTCAGTTGCTTATTCGGTCGCTTGGACGTAACTCCCCCTACAACCTCAGCCGAACTTACTGGGACACCACCCATCGATACAGGCAACACACGCTGATTGGAGACCACTTGAGCTTAGCCCATGAGCCTACAAAAGCTGCTGTCCTAGGGACTCTCAGTCATGACTGGACGCAGTCAACAGCAGTCCTGGCTTCGCCAGTGTTCACTGCCGCCTGAGAGGACAACTCCGAGTTTTGTATGCACTAAACCCCTCATTCTAATGCCTTCTGTCCTCTTTTCACACTTTTTATATGGTCGCATAATTTTAGCGCTCTGATCACTCATTCAGGCCGCCTGGAAGCTGCAAACCCGACGTGATCGAAGCGCAAACTTCTGATCTGGTTCAACTCAAACGCCACGAAATTCCTGCATAACTTTGCCCTGCTTTGACGGCAGCCGTTTTTGTATGCTTGTGGCCCAAGCCTAAGGGTTCTCCAATCGGTGTGCGTTGCATTTGCCGCTCTATGGTGTCCCAGTGGCTTAGGTTGTTCGTTGCAGGGGGTGTCCCGTTCAAGCGGCAGGACAAGGAGGCTGAAAAGGTCAGTTCTGATACAACTGTCCATTACTTACTGAAAACTGAACATCAGGACTGAGAATCTACGCCCACTTACCTAACCTTTAAACATCAAACAATTTTCGTGACCTCACTTTGTCATTCTGTTAATTGCTCAGTCCACATTCCCTAGCAGTTATTAGCTGAGTGTTGTAATTATTAACGTATATTTCAGCATTTCGATGATGTTGGAAGATAGAAATGAGCATATTCAGGAGCATATAACTTCATCGACTTATTCATTTCCGATCTGGATCCTTGAGGGAACACTTTAACTCAGCTTTATTCAGGTTGACCTATTCGAATTCTGCTCAGTCGTTCTTGTCGGTTGTCTCATGGCGAAGTATTCTGTCATTCTTCCTACTTATAATGAAAAGGAGAATCTACCATTAATTATCTATATGGTTGATAAGTATATGAGCGAAAAGTAAGATCCTTATCTGCTCTGATGGACCGCAGCTCCTATCCCTATGAAATTGTAATAGTTGATGATAATAGCCCCGATGGGACATTACAGGCCGCTGAACTCCTTCAGAAGATTTACGGCTCGGAGAAAATAGTGAGTTCTGGATTAGTCATTCGATCCTTTTAGATTATCAAGTCGAGGGCCAAAAAAGAGGGACTTGGTAACACTAAGCCTTTACGTTATGTTTTTCTTTTGGAACGGCATACGTACACGGAATGAACTTTGCTAACGGCGACTTCATTATAATCATGGATGCAGACCTATCTCATCATGTAAGGGAGAGACTTTAGTGATCGTCTTTTAGCCCAAGTTTATTCCTGCGTTTATAGAGTACGTCAAGGATTGTGTAAATTATGTAATCAAATCCTAGGGTTCAGAAGTCAATGGACTACGATATTGTGACGGGTACTCGTTATGCTTGCGGAGGTGGTGTTTGTGGATGGGATTTAAAGCGAAAGGTCATAAGGTTGGTTTCACGGATAATTTATGCATACTTCATCACAATGAATGATTTCTTTCCTTTATTCGAATTTCGTTATATTACTCCTCATGCCGTTTCACAATCAGTGCTTGGACTAGTATGGCTCACCTTGATGCCCGGCATTCAAGTGTGTACTGTTCATTTGACGTCCACGGCACTCTGCAGATCAGCGCCTTCATTGGTTGATCGTGTGCACAGCCGCCTGCAGCATGGTTGTCTAATCGTCTCACGCGGTCACTTCTTTGACTGGGGCACCTTCCTTAGACATTTTTCATTAGGGTCAACGGTAACTTGTGTCTCGATTAGATGAACACGGCAGCAGTCCTGGTCTGATTCATTCCATGCAAGCACCATCCTCCGCCGTGCGTCCATTCCATCGATTCGAGTGGTTATATCACATCCTTTTCCTGGTGTCACCTCAATCGCGAATAACTTTGCTAGCAGTTAGACGTGAATTCAGCCACCTCCACCATAGAGCGTGGAAGTCTAGTTGTGTACAAACCGTACCTGTGGCAGTACCTGTTATAACAGTTTTCAGTGTCACTGTTTGTCAGCCGTGTCGTTACTGCCGCTAACGGAAGAGAATCGTCGCAAATATTGTTCATAACTTGAGCTGAATGGCCTTGTCAAACCGTATAAGTACTACTTGAAAGGGGGCATAGTTGTCACTACTCTCTCTGCCCGCCTTTAAACAAGAAGATCTCGTCCTACTAGCTTATCATAATGATTCGGCTTTTCCGGTCCTGCTATAGAAATAATTAAGAATGTGACAGTGAACCCTGGCGGACATTCCCCGCATACAGTTGTTTTCACGTCGTGACATGAAAGGTAAGACGATATCGTCAGTTCCAGCTGCCGAACCTTGTGTATCCCTTGATTCACTGTCCTGGGGTCAGCCAATTTCTCTCTGAACTGGCTACAAAATCGACAAACAATGTAGGTATTTAAAGTGATGGACGCGTATGGTGAGGTTAAAGTAAGTAGTTCTAAATTCTTTCAATGGCCCGAAAAAGTATTCGGCATTTGCGAAGTTTGACCGGTTTTTCAAAGAAACGCTGGCTTCCCCTCGTCGAATATTTTGACGCGGACTTTGGCAACGTTGTCTTTAACTTCTGCGAAGCCTTCACAGTCTCTTTGCCTCTTCGCACTGCCACTGACGAACGCTTAAGCGGAAATTGCCGTCTTTCTTGTGTGCATAGATTTAGCAAGGACAGGTTTGTTACTCTTTTTGCTACATTATTTCGCTCACCACCGTCTGGCCGAGTCCTAAGGAATTGTCATCAATAAACTCCTGTTGATGTTTCTAGTCAGCCTCTTAAAACTAATAGCACCAATTTGTTTGGTGTATTGATTTATCTTTGCCATTCTTCCCCAGTAAGGTTGAGAATGATCTGACAATTGTAAATTTGTAAAATTGTTATTTTTAGCCGTTGTGCCAACTTTTTGGCACATCTTCTGCTTCGTCCTAAGGCCTCAGACCTAACAGGAAGTTTTCGGTAAGTCTTCGGTTTGTACTTCAGTATTCCACAGATTGTACAAAAAGGCGGTTCTGAAAAAGCTAGTCGAATCATCTGTGTCTCGAGGGTATGTTTTCCAAATGGAAATGATGGCCAGAGCGTCGGTAATGGGCTTTTCCATCGGGGAGGTATGATTTTTCAATGGGTCCGCATTTTCCTAATTTAGGTTGGTATCACGTTCGTCGACCGACTTTATGGCGCTTCCAAGTTAGGAGGATCTGAAATAAAGCAATACCTCGCATGTCTTCTCCGACTTTTCTTTACGATATAGCCTCTTTCATATGTCTTCCTTTTTAGTGGAGCCTCAGTTCCAGTATTTTGCATGTACAATTCAGTTCTATCCTCACCGAATGTGGGGTACACTTTCCTTTTTGTCCCCTGGGTCATTTCATTTCTTCAAGTACTGTTAATAGTATTCAGCGGTTTAATTTACTGACCTTTCTGTTCTTGACCTATTCCAGCAATCTGTAAATACATCTTGGTGGTTTTGGTCTGCTACTTGTCGGGATTAGCAACTTTGGATCACCTTCAACATCATATCGACAAGTTTAGTTCGCCCAATTGAGTACTACGCGACCTACAACTTTTTACGAAACGTGAGCTTAAGGGTGCCAACACTGCCACTTAAGGCTCGCCTGTCTGCACTAGTGGTCAGCCGGTTGTTACTGTGGTTCCCGCAAGTGTTAAATGACAAGTAAGCCTTCTACGGTAGGTAGTTGCATGCGCTGTAACTGCGACCGTACCTGCTCCAACCGACCTCGATTGTTTTGAGGTAGTCAGAAGCAGTCACCGTGAACGAATGTCTGATGACCACCTCATGTGCAAGTGAACGGTGTCGGCGTAGGTTATGAGCCAAACTCTTTACAGCTTTTAAGTCGACACCGGCGTCTGGTTCGAGACAGCGCCGCTACGTGGCTTCAGCCGCGTATACTGAATGGCCTAAGCGTTTTAATAGGGCAGTAATAGGACATCGTTTAAGCCTAACGCAGACCCCTCGGACAGTATATTCTCGACAAGAAGATGTCCTTGCCCTGACCGCCTGACTGTAGGTCCTATGTGCTGTTTAAACAGATGACCGATCCACTGTCCCTGTTTTCGCAAGATTCCTCAGTATTTGAAGCTATACACTCAGCTCTCGAGGCAGGTCACCTGGTCTGGAGTACGGCTCGAAAACTGGCTTTCGTCTCATTGACAAATAGTTTAACCAGTTTAATGACTGCCGCCCACACGAGACGCCGTAGATCGTCATAACTTGGTGCTGGTGCTGCGATATCATTGTCATGGTCAACATTGTTCAGCCACCGTCTTCATTTGAATTCTACATCAGGTGTGAAAGACTTTCCGAGAGCTCAGGTAATAGGACGGGCAATGGTTTATAACCTTGCCGAACGCCAGGCCATACTTAGAACGGCTGCGAGGGGTGGATGTTGAGTGATAGTGCGCCTTACTCAACGCATAGCACTGTCTGACTCCACTATCGGCCACAAGGACTTGTGATAGACGCAGTTAAACAGGAAATCGAAGTCGGTGGGGCAGAGGACCGTCAGTAATCGTTAACTGTGCTGGAATTGGTGGGTGTACTGTGTGTATCGTAATTTTCCCATTACCTTTTCTGAGACATTTTCAAATGCCTCGAGAATAAAGATTGCATAACTATGATTTATGAATCCTCAAAATGACTTAACAAGTCACTCAGGAATTTAAAACAAGTTCTCATAGTAAACCCTTTCTAAACTGCCTCTGATCTTGAAGTTCGATGCAGAAGAAGGTGAGTTGTCGTTATTCGACCGGAGCTTCTTTCGCCGAAGGACATGTCGGGACGCCATTCACAAGGAACATACTAGTAACATCCAGTCTAAAAACAACTATCACCTCCGATATCCGGCGAAAATGCGCATTTGGGGATTGAATGGGAGCAACGCTCCTCAATGATCGTTCCCGCTCTCAAGCATCTGATCATTACGAGCGTGGAAGAATTCGGCGTGAAGAATGCTCCATTCGCACCTGTAATCAAATGTAAAACTCCGAGCGTCGGAAGTATGCTTGTTACTGGTACTAGTTAATTTAATCAGGAGAGTTTGTGGTCTCTTGAATGTGGAATTCGGGTGACTTCGAACGAAGCAACTGAATTTCGACATAGTCTGTTGAGACCGGGTCTGCCTTCGTGGATAAAAGGAAGAGCATAATGTAGTTAGCAGCCTAGGCAAGTTTGGAGTTCTTAGGTGAGTAAAAAGAGATGAATAGAACTCCCCACTCTCGGACTACCGCGTGGACTCCGCTATGTGTATGACCTGTTTGACGGCCTGTGTCCAGATAATTGCTTCAGCCGTAATCACGGAAAATCAGTTGCTTTTGGTGGCACTTAGATAGTCTACAGATCTTGAGTGAGATGTGACCGGGGACAACCTGTTTCATGAGAGAGCTCCAAGAGCCTTTTCTTTTTCTCCGGTGCAGTCACTTCTGCGGGTTCTTTTGGCGCTCTTCCTAGGGGGCTTGAAGTAAAGGATGGGGCGGCACAGGACCATGACGGTAGATTAAAACAGGCCGGCAAACGAACGTGGTAATGTGTGTTGCAAACGGTGAGTAGTAAACGTAGTGGAATGGTTGCCATTGACCATTCTTGAGGATGGAAGGTAGGCACTGATATTGCCTTTCGTTCCGGCATTGCAAAGTTCTATATGATGTTCTCCCCTCGTCTGACCAAGCACCAACACCTCGAGACTGAAAGGTGCCCGGCCATCCAACTCTGTGGCCGACTCAGACACGCTTTTACGCAGGATGCCCAGATGCCTGACACAGCGGTTGCTGAAAGTGCGTCTCATGTCCATCCCTCAAACTGCTCCGACAACTTATTTCTCATCAATTCTCCACAGAATGCAATGTCCCCTTTACTGACGTTTAACTCCTACTTGGGACCTGATATGGGGATGGTTTTGACCTACCCATGGGTTTCGCTGTCGCGGCAAGCCCACCTCGTGAGGCACTAGCGGGACCGACCTCGTCATTCGCCACGATCAGTTTATCTTAGACTTGCCAAAGTAAGTTCAAGAGCTTTGTTCCACAGTCTGCGGGCACTGAGGTACGCGAGATATCGGTGGTCTCTGCGTCTGTATTACAGTTAGCTAGGCAAACCGGCCTAGCTGGAAGGTCGGCACGTCCGGTGATCGTAGTGAAGGTGGGTGACCTCTGGGCGATGAGTCGTTGATCACAGTCGACTACGAGACGATCACTAATAGCTTTCAGTTCTGTGGGCCGGCACTTGATACGGTGGGGAAAAGTGTCCCCTAAATAAGAGGTGGAATAAACAGAACAATAAATGTTATAGCCACCTAAGCCATAGGCCCTAGCCACCACAACCATGTCCGGTCTCGTATAGAAAGCGGAGAAGCTGGAAATTAGTAATAAAGGCACTGTATTCCGTAAAATGTTGATGAAAAGTAGGTTGGAGCAAGTTAGCAGCCAGATGAGGGCACATTTCCTGCTTAGCCAAAGCAGCCCTCCGTGAGTCACTGGGGTAGACGTTAGAGCGTCTTGGTGGAGGGTACGTCTGCACAGGCCTTCCAGTCGACTGGTTAAGACTAGGTTGCCATTGACAAGCACGTGCAAGTACACGCGATATAGTAAGACAGGATCAAATTAATAACTCACTATTCATCTGATCAGCCTTCCGTTCGGGTGGGAGATTTGTTTGTTGGAACACTTCGCAAGCAAGAAAAACGGTAACGCTTAAGCTCCCAAGATGGCTACAAGGAAATACTCGTAGACTAGACAAGCCATACGAAAGGACAGAAACAGAGAAGAAGGTCCAACCAGAGTTTTAAAGGGAATAACCGCCTATCAGTTTAGGTAAACGTCTTATAACAAGACTCTCTTTTTCGGGTGTACGGCACTAGATTATAATCTTTCACGATCCACAATAGTTCCAGAGGTCGGCATATCAACGGTCCATAGGTCTTGGCCAAGGCTTCACTTTCAGTCATCGGTGTGAGATGCGCCGGATATAGGGTTCAGCAGGAGTATTCGTGTTCTCACTTGTTGTTCCTCTAAATTTCGAAGAATCTTGTTCTCAGTGTTGTATACAAACTGCAAATCAATCTGATACTGTTAATTTCGAAATGCTGCAGTTTGTTTCTGACATACTTTGTTAGTAATCGTTCGGCCTGACAACTAGACCTCTCGTCAAACCGATCATGGTACATCTGCTGATCTGACCGTGATAGAGTGGAACGAGGGTCCTTTTGAACTGTCTTATGGGACGACCAAAGGACGCTGACCGTCGCGTGTATCCCGAATACACCTACCTGTATATCTGTTGCCGGTCGTTTTGACACGCGCCACCGATGCAAATCGTTATTTTGGCAGCTAAAATGATGACTATGCCAGTAAAGCCTGATATCCTGCACGCTGACCGTAGTCTAATATGCGGTCATCCATGTTCACTTGATTCTCTGAGTAAGTTCTGCGGGTTTGCCTTCTACTTAATATTGCTCCCCTCAAGCGAAAGTTGAGCTTGTTTGGCAGTAACCTTGTCTTGTAAGCTGTGGAAAGTTTCGAACACTCATGAGCATATAAGTGACGGAAGAATGCTCTGTAATTTGAAGTCTCCGGAAGCGCCACGTCTTGAAAACACTGTATGGTTCCAGTGCAGATGTCGAAATATCGCCTTTGAAGAATTCCAGCAAGAAAGACATTTTTGACTACCTAGATTATGTGGCGATGAAGTCGTGTAGCTCCTCCGTCATACTGTGGTGTTAACTCAAAACTTTAGATCGTGAAATGTCTACTTACTTGCATTTAGTGTTAGGCCGCACTTTCAGGTAATGCAAATTAACCCAGTAGATGCTCATTTTGGCTTTAATTCGCGAGGTGGTCCTATCATTTTTTGTCAAGAGTCGGTGCTTCTTCAACTGCTGCTGGTGGCTGTTCTGGAGCGTCCTAAAGTAAATTGCACACCGCTGGGACATGTGAGATGCAGTCGTGATAGTAAGACATCAGTCACAGTTTAAGGTTTACTTGTGGAGGTTTCACAACCGGAATGTGCGAGTTCTGTGTAGGAATTGGTGCGTACGTATGAATTACGTGAGCCTGACAGTTATCTGGTTAATTCTAGGTGAATTACTCAGGAAATCCTGCTTGGGCAATCAACTTGCTGTATTAGATTTGGTGGATTCCAGACGTTGCAATAGGTTGGGCGGGTAACTTGACCCAAATATGCTTAAACTTGCGTCGTCCGCTGGGGCCTCGTAGCTCAAGTGGTTAGAGCGTTGGCTGTACTAAAGCCTTCCCCTGCTGTCGTGGGTTCGAATGCCACCGAGGCGGCGATTTTTCCACAGTTGGGTCAATAAGCATTTATGCAATGTCAACCTCATAAGAATTAACTGGCGAATGTGTATGAAGTTAAAGAAAGGGTAGAACATTTGGCAGTTATATTAACTTTAGTTTTCACGTGTTACCGTGAGAAAAGCTTGTTCGCAAAGAAAATTTGACAAGTTCCTGACCCAGATCAATTTCCCAAAATGACTTCTCCTCTGCATCTACTGCGAAAAAGGCAGATTGTTCAAAACTTGACAGTAAAATTCTAATCAATTTTTGTCAGTATGATAGTGCATGAGATGAATCCCAAAATAAAACATAATTGTGGCTTTGAGCATACCTGGTGTTGCCTTCTCTGTTTTGCATAAAGTTTGGAAGGCATGAATGCAATCCGATCCCAACCAAGAGATAACCATTGCTCATTTTGCTGTAAAGTACCCAGGTGTTTCCGGCTACTCAAGATGCATGCGCGTTCTTCCTTAGTTTGACTCTCAATTCTACTGATAACACACTAACGTAAATTAAACTAAACCTCTGGGCACAAGCCATCTGCTAGCAGATTGAATGGCAGACCTGCAACTTTTCTAGAAACTACGGTATGCACGTTGCTTAAAAACATTATACTCCCCTAATGTGTGGAGCAGCCAATATAGTCACTTCAATATTATACCTACGAATGCACTAACTAGCGGTGTAGAAGTCCAGTCTCAACCACGCAGTATATGAGCCGTCGTTCCCGATTGAGATTTCTGGCCGAATTATTCCGTACTGATTCACTTATTTTTGGAGCCTACAACACCGCATCTGTGGCTGAAACCATTTTACATATTATGCTCTTTTTTCATATTCGGACTGCTTAATTTATCTTACGTCATAGGCAAGGATCGTGATGGTTTATTCATTGGCTTTAGGCAACTACCCCGAAGCGTTTCATGCTGGTTAGCTAGAAGGAAGTTGATCTTTAGTCATGCTAGCCGCCGTTAGGTGGAAGCGTATGGCAAGGAAATTATCTTTGCAAAATAAAAATCACCGATACAAGCGAAAATGCGAGTTCCAGGAACTAGTTGACCAGAAGAAGAAGCGATCGCTGGAACAATGGCTTTATTCGCGTAGCTCAGGTGGTTAGAGCGCTGGCTGAGCTAAAAAACCTTCCCCTTACTGCGTGGGTTCGAATCCCACCGAGGCGCCGAGTTTTTCACAGTTGGGTCAATATGAATTATTCAAAATCTGCCAAAATATCAATGAACATGGCGCTCCATTGCCACAGAGTTGATAGCGTAAGTCTTTCAAATTTTCTTGCAAAATCGGTGAAGTAATGTGCGCATGCATGGTTCACAATTTGACTTAAAATAAATAATCGTGACTAGGCAATAAATGAAGTAACAGATTGAAATCGCATTTAAAATGCATGGGAGTTTTTACAATCGGTTATACACCTCAGCATTTGCACAATTAAAATTTATCCGAGTTCCAAACTGATGAGCAATTTCGCTCCTTGTAGCGAGGCAATGTTCGCACGGCAAAGCAACTTATTAGTGCTGGATAATGCAATGCCTTGCGACTACGCGAGACAGGGAGGAGTATAATGATGGAAACCGGCTCTTGCAAGCCTCGAACTACCTGTAGAGAATGGAATCTTCTGTCTATCCCTTCCTGCACAAAGCGCCGGACATTAAAATTCCGTATGTGTATACTGTATGTCTTCTGAAGTATACCATATATCTTATTCAAAAAGACTGCCCGGTAAGCTGTCATTTTCATCCTAAATGCCCTTTACCTGTCTAGGCGGATTATTAGAGGCACAAGCTAAATTTTATGTTTAACAAACAGTTCCATAAAAACGAGCTTAACCCATGGCATTTCTTAAAGTATCGCGATAAAGAGCATGTGGAATCTAGTCACCATATCATGGAAACTATCACTCATTTTCGGAAATATATAATTCGGATGCCAAAGTGCTTCGGCAAAGGGTTCCTATGACTTTATTACACTTGAGTATAATATTTGACTAAGCTTTCAAATAGAGAAGCTTAATTATGTGAAATTTCAGGGCTGGAGGACAGGACGGCATTCTTATGTCAGTTTGCGCATTGTAGAATGTCGTTCTTCCGGCAAGACCTCCCGGTCCATTAAACCAAATTCAATCGAGGCCAAATCAATACATATTTTGTCCTTACCTTCGATAGTTCAATAAAGTAATTTCCACACAAACAAACGGTAAAATAGGACTTCCTGAAAGCATTTAGAGACAATAACGGCCTCTTCCTAAATAATGAGTGAAATTGCGATCTGTCCTAGTTATTTGGGAGTCCAGGAGTTTCTACATTTCTAAGGCGAATGCATCGCTGCGTGTTCTTGTGTCTTCCTGTTTAGTGTATGCCTAGGATCCCTGGAGGCACCTTTATAACTGTTTTCATGTTCCCATGCAAGCAGCCGTTTTATATTAAACTAACTCGAAGGGATAGGACTTTCTTCGACAACGTTTGTAACAACTCATGTGTCGACTCCACATTAAGTCCTGATTTTAACGTCGATGCGACCATATTTACATAACTAGTTCATCTTGGTAGCATATTTAGAGGTTAAGCCGAGGGAGTTTGCTGATAAATGCATTAGAACTAAGCCCAGCTTCAATTGTGGTGAAGCAGGTTTTGCCCTCAGAAGCCCGACCGTCTTAACCTTCAAACTTGCGTCACGGACGCGGGCGCGTTTCGTTGCGCGCGCTAGCGTCGGAGCGAGTACGAGTAATCATACCAGCCTGTCGCCTTGCACCTAACGCCGATTGGCTAGTGTTAGAACCAACCAGCCGACTCGTCCTGTAAAACATTTACTGGAGCTGAGGTCCCGTCTTAGAACAGAGCGTAGCAGCATGCAGTACATCGGGAAACTGTTTTCAACAGCGAGGCAGTACTACAGCGATATTAACAGGGCCACTCTAAACGGGGCTATTGACGTCATCGTTATTCAACACCCAGATGGCGAATGGAACAGCTCACCCTTCTACGTTCAGTTTGGCAAGACTGGAATACTTCGACCTTGCGAAGACGAGGTACATCAATAAAAATTGATGTTTATTTGCAGTTTCTGACCGTTCCGTGCCCTTTGTCCGTGTCATGTTTTGAATGATACCATTACTGCATAACCAGCAGTGTTTCATATGCATACGCCAACCCTAGACATGTGCATGTTAATAGAGCAAAAATGTCAGTTTGTAAAAATTAGTACCAGTCAGATTTACACACGTCGTCTTACACATTCTGTTTTATTTCCTCTTTCCTAATGTACTGAAACGCATGATGATTGTATTGTATCAAAGAACAAATACCTGCCACTACCGCGTTTCCGTGAGGTTTGCCCTCAGTACACACCAACCAAAATCCGAAACCTCTGCTTCTATTGTCTTTTTCAGCTACCGCTTTTGACCATTTTGAAGCCGTAACTGTATATACTAAAACCCAATTTATAGCGATAATAGACGAAAACCCATACGAGGATGAAGCCTGCAGATCTGGCCTAAATATAGCGTGGACTGCGGGTATTTGTTTAGTCATAGATCTCCGCTTTAGAGTTCTCGAAGGCAATTGCCTAGCGAAGAGCAGTAAATAGTTGAGGCGTATTAAGGGCCTAAACAAGGTTGACTGGAATGAGCATTTACGGATTACCCGTCGCTTTTCAACCAACCATACAAGTCAGTGGGGAAGACCCGAACCTTGGACTTGGAAAAAAAGATACAATGGTGTGACCGGGTTCTGTCCTCGAACAGAGTCAGAATAGTGGCTATAACGTTGGATGTCCTCGATCATAGTCGAAGAGATGTGGTCATGGTGTTAAGCCGTTAACTTTACCGAGCAAGTGGAGTTAGGTTCGAATCTCGGGTTTTCTCCAGTTACGATATTACTGGCTGACTGCGGTAATTAAGCCAGTCATGGCCACTACAATATTCCTTTTCTGTCAGTGCCATCTCCTGACTACTGCTGTATTTTACGTGCGGCCGGCATCCACTGGTCAGTCCTGACTTCAGGACAAGAATCTGTATTTTCTACTCAATCAGGTTCAAACCTTTTTCCTGAGACCTGGGGTCGGAGCATAACTGACCTTTCCACTGTCCCTGTCTTTGTCCGCCCTGAGTTCTATGTGTGTACCAACTTCCCTAGACAACACCTGTTTAATTAATCCCAACTAAAACTCAATTTGTGGTTGGAAATGGAGACGAACATTCGTCATTAATATTTTTTTCAATCTCAGTTCATTTTCCGAATTGTCACCTCTGTGCTGGATTTGGAGTCATAGTAGCAAGTGGTGAGGATTCTGTTCCAGTACACCGGCTAAAGCCGGGACGAAATTGCTGAGAGGCAATTCAACATAAGTCATATTTCAAGGCAGTGTAGAATGGGCGCACGATTGCAAAGGGTTTCCCGTCGACTATGTAATTCACAAGAAAGACGGATGAGCATGTTGGAGTACCAGTAAACAATACCTACACACCTTAGGCAGTATCAGCATTAAATGCTACTGAAAATGACTTTGGCATTGAAAATATTCCTTGATTCCAAACTGAACACAAACATAAGTTTCTTGAAAAGACTTCTTCTGCTCATCTGTGTTCAGGAACACGCACTTTTGCTTCCATTATCGACAGAAGCTGTTGTGGCGATTAACAAATGAAACTGTAGCATTCCCTACCCGTACAGTTCCCAGTTTCGACGGGAGCAGCAGCCGACGGCTTGAGGCAGGCGCCTAAAATCCATCCACCTAAACGATCCTTGGTCTTATCATCCCCCAACTTTGCTACCATTCCCCTTGTGTCTATCGCTACGTTACGGAAGTTCTGCCCCCGTTTCGGTTTTAATATGAAGAAGCCTCAGCAGGAAGATTCAATTGTCAAGAGCTGTTATCTTTAAATTTATTTCGTGTTTTCAGTCTCCAGGGTTGACCACTTTATCTTAAGACGAACCACATATTTCCACAGCGTAAATTTCCTTTACTTTATAGCCTGCCTAAGTGAAACCTTTTAGATGACTTAGAACGGTTTGCGCGGATACGGGGCAGTGTTGGCAAAGACAAAAGTAGTACAAGTACAGGAATAGTAAGGTCAACCGGATAAGCATTTCAGATCGATTATCCTGGCCAAATTTGGTGCGCTGGGATACTGGTTTAGCAAGTAACTGTAAAAGTCTCAGTCTGTTTTTGAATAGCGTGGCCTTTCGGCACACCACTGTATCTTCTTCTTGGTGTGAAAACTGGAAATGACATCTGCCGTTGAAGGAGTCACCAAGTAATATTGACTCCTAAAACATCTTTTTCAAAGAGTCGCAATTGTCGTCCTCAGAATTGCCTCGTTAAAAACAACTGCCAGATACAAAAAACACGAGAAAACATACTGTGCCGTCGATTCCGTCTGTGCTCATAGAGGTTGACTGACGCAGTCCGGATGAGTGTGAACATCTTGAGTCAACCTTATGTGGGCCTATTCGAGGACCTGGGAGGGTTTATGCTTGATTCTGACCACTAAGTTCCTCGTGAGCTATTCTGCTTTTGAATTTCGTTCCTCACCCATCTCATAGATCTCAGTATGACAGGCGATCTCCTGGTCTACCGAAATGTGACTGTCATAAAAATTCTAATACCAGGTCTTAAATGTTTGGATTCAGAAGCAATTATTGATATGAACTGCTGGTCTTGCCTGCTGGCTCTAACGATACATTTAAGTGACAACTTTCAAAAGGTAGTAAATTCTAGGACAAAGTTCCAGTCTATTCGTCCGTTAGATTAAGTCAATTACGCCTATGTTTGCCCCCTTTCTAATGGAAGTTTCACGTTAAAATTTTTCCACTTTCCCTACGCGGACTTAGAGATCGGCCTTCTATGGAAATCTTTTACGATAGGGACTCTTTCCAGTGACAGCTTTGTCTCCATCATCTAGGCACTTTGCCTTTGTGAAATCAAACAGTGCGAACTAATTCGCTCGGGCTTTAACTTTCCGATCAGTCCCTATGTCCTCTGCTCTTGATGCAGGCCCGCATACATAAATTCAGTATGGACGCTTTCATATTCACCCTTAGCAGCCTACTTATAGCTCGAGCTGTTTGTGAACAGTCGACTGGTGACTGTTACAACCCGACTGTTACAAACAGACTTACTTGCGGAATTCCGCCACGGTGTGTTCATTAAGGGCAAGTGCTGTGGGAAGACTAGGCAGTCTTGGATATTATCAAACTTTTTCCCATTGAATAAAGAATTTTGAACGAATTCCTCAACACCAACTTTCCGAGTTTATGTGCGTTTTGCCAATACTTTCTAGCTTGCAGATAAGGCAGTCTTCAATGCCTTCTCATTGTGAGCAAATTCAAAACGCCGGCCTGCAATATCTCACTCATAGTCCATGGCATCGCCATTGGCACCAAGGGCCTTCCGTTTCACTCTCTGTCTGATGACCAGCATAGCGAATAACGGGCCGCGTAAGCCCGAGTTTTAAGCTTGGTTTCATCAGGTAGTGTGGGTGTGTAATGAAGATCTGCTGACGCAACCATGCTCCACTTATAGGCCCTAACGCGCGGCGACGACTCTGCGTCCTTTAGGTTGACCCTCAGAAGCGCCAACTTCACCCACTTACCTATTTTTGGGGCGATCCTGATCTTGCAGCGACAAAGCGGTAATTGGAGACGTCAGTCGAGTCCTCTGTCTGTGTCCTTCCAACATTATCTACAGAATGTATTGGAACCCCTAAAAATCGACCGAAATCCTTGGATGTTCATTTTCAGGACAAAGCATAACCTACATGGGGTTGGTATAATGATGATCGTGTAACCGTATTTCAGCCTTACACCTTCAGTATGGTCTGCTGGGTTTCGATCGTACATCGCTTTGGTCACTTACACTGAGTTAACACGCGCATTTCCTACAGGACTTATTTTTCAATCCTAGTCGTTTTGTTCTTAGCTTGCCATGAAGATGTGGCGGGTGTTAAAAGAGAATGCCTACGGTTCTCTTGTATAACAGCATGCTTTGGAGAATTTTAATATTTCTTAGTGACCACGTCCAATACATCGTGTCTTACGTTTCTCGTGATTGTAAGTTTTCTGAAGAACTCAATGCCTGTTTTCCCTCGAGGAATCTTTCCCAATTTCCCTTTATGGGTATGTAATTTGATATCCTAAGACTGTTTAAGACGCGAAATATACTTTTAACCATTGCAGTGTCGCGAAAATGTTTCTAGGAAACATGCAGATATGTGACTTTACGAAAGTCCAAAAACCCAAAATTTTGGAGTTTTTCGAACCGGTGCATTGTGTTCTACTGACGGAGCCCACGGGAACAAATGCACTACACTCGTGTCTTCCAATTCACAAGCCTCAGAGGCGTCGTTGTCTGGCGAATGTGAATTGTGCGCTGAAGTGTACAAGCAACTAAGACCATGGTGTCTGCGGTATGCTCTGGGTCTGCGATATCGTTCGTGGGTAGAGACTGCATGAGTCGACGTATGCCCACAGAAGCCAAGTTGGCCGTTAAGCTCAACCGGCCCGGCTTACCGACAATGAGACGTAACGATAGGTTTGGGCAGCCGAATGGATGGGACAGAGCGAGTGGCTGTCCGAGAATGCGGGTGAAGCCAAAACATGACATAGGCTAAAGTTCAGAAGGCCTATTGTTTGGGGTTTTTCGTTTTTCATTGCTGTTCAGGGATGAAATACAGCTACTCTAATCGACTAGAATCTGGGCTGCACTGGCTAGTTATTTTATGAACACTTATACGGATTAGATTGGTTGCATACGGTGGTAGATATAAGGCGCCCCACCAGCGACGTGTGCACTGTATAATCTATGTTTTTCTACTAACGGACCACAAATACGACAGTTGGAAACGGGACTATGGATCGCCCGTATTACAGGTGGAGTGACCCTAAATTCCAGAAGGTTAAAGTTAAAACTATTAGGTCACGTGCGCATTCATTAAAATCCGCGGTAGATCACCGTCGTCTATACCATGCCACACATCTTCCCTCAACAACACTCGCACAGCACGTCAAAATCACCCATCGTCACACCACGCAAGCACTCAATTGACACCTCTCACGCAAGTGGGAAATCTGCCTGTCGGCTCCTTCCCCACGTGGCTCCTCTGCTGCTTATGTGGTCCGAGCCCGAAACTATCATGGTGCGCCAGGTGCCATGACTTGGAAAGTTGCCGACGGGCACCTCAACTCAGTCCACGCAGTCTGTCCGGTTGTGCGTGTGTGGAGTGGTGGACTGATGGGTTGAGAGCCAGGCTGCAACGGCTCCTTAACGTGACCTCTGGCACTGTCACGCATGTGAGGAGAGTGTGTGTGTGTATATGTGGGTGGTGCCTCTCAGTCAATGGCTGACTTGTTACCCGGCCCTTTAATGGTGATGACCCAGGCCAAATGCAGGGCCGTGTCCCACCTTTCTGGGCTTTAAGGATTATGCGCGTCTACCATGTCATGATTCAATAAACCATGGCTCTCGCAGTCTGGTGCGCGCTGACAGTTCTCTGGCACGTGGTTCCCTTTCGGTGGATGGGCTTGCGCTTCGGCTGGGTATACAGGCCGTGTGCATGGTTGCCCAGTGATTTGTGTCTGCCTCCTATTTCTGACCGATTTTTTGTCGTTAGTTAAAGGGCTGGTCAAGTGTCTGTTGTAAACGAGAGTGTGGTGGTACCCTAGGTGCGGGTCTGGTCGTGTCAGCCACCTCCGCCCTATCCTGCCTCCGATTTACTTGACTGTGTCTTGACACCGGGTCCAGGCGCGGGAGGATCAGTGGGTGTGGTAGATGCTGTGCAAGCCCGTCAACACTATGGAGTAGTTCTCGCGCAAGTTACCGTGCCTGCTCTCACGTTGCTATGGAGTACACGGTAGATGTCTTCGGCAACGACGGTCGAACTGTCAAGTGTTAGAGTTAGTCTTATTGATCAGACACAGGAGCAGGAACTCCTGGAGTTCAGCTCTAGGCCCCCTGTAGTACTGGGAGGCCCGCATTCCCGTACCCAACTAATAAAGCTGTGCTAACTCTGTGGTTGGTAGACCTTTAAATGCCCACATCAATGCCGTCGGCCTTACCTTGCAAAATGACAAAGGGAGGAAATTTGTTATGATGGTATGGTGGAAAGGCGTTTATCTATCAGGTTACTATGCCAGCTCGTCCCGTTCTATCCTGGCGCTCAACCTGGAGTCCTCAAAGGTAGTCACTTAGCGACCAGTTTCATATGCTGAAATGGCGGTACTGACAAAGAAAAGGGAGACTAGGTTTGTCATTTCTGGCTTATAGGCCGTCGTCAGCCATCCCCAACCAACCAGAAGTTTTCGGGACCTGTTAATGTCGACAAGTAGCATTATACAAAATGACTGCACTTGTTCAAATTCTATGGCGTCCGCATGGTTGTGTTCCGTTCTGCAGGTCGATTTTTGCAAGAAACTTCAGTTACATGTTTCAGTGACTTTTTCCTCTCCCGTCGGCCAGCGGTCTACTTTTATTCTCAGACCAGTTATCAAATGCAGTCAAAACCAAACTAACTATATTTGATCTATTTCTACTTTCCCCTTATTCAGGTTGAAATCTCAATTAACGGGTCAATATGTGAACACATAAAAATGCGAGTTAATCAATACGGACAGGCCTTCTTTGACTTTCGGGTATGTACGCGAAGCTATTCTTTTGTGTCTGGCAAGCAAAGTTTTTAAATACGTTCCTCTTATATACCCACAAATGTTTTTTACTAAATGAACGGATTTTTCTCAAATAACTAAGCAGCTATGTCGTGATTTGCATCTGTCTATCCCGAATGGTAGTGACTTCTTACATGTCTCCTATTCTGAGTCCTGAAGCGGGTCCACCATGTGGATCTTCGTGTTTGTACTTTCGAGAAAATCATTCAAAGTACTATGACTTAAAGACATGCGGAAAAAGTCCAAATGAAAGCGCGCTCGACGTAATAACTCCGTACGGCTGTACCTGGATCCCTTAACATGTCGAAAATCAGGATATGAATGAAAGGACCGACTTTTGATATGCTGATCTTCGGCAGGCGACATAACCAAACTCACACCGTTTTAGTCCGAACAACCTCGCAGCAGCCTGGACTAAATGAAGGAGCTAAATAACATTTTGGAAAATACGAGCAAAGTAGTGCCTTCACGGTAGGGTGAGAAATACCGACTGCAGAAGAGAACAGGTGGCAATTATGATCTTGTACACAACAATCCTGCTCCGAGAACCACGAATGTCCACGAACAGCAGCAAGGAATAAACGAGATGGCGCGGGCATCAGCGGATGAATTGATAAAGGATGAGAAAAGACCGGTGCAGATTAGAAGTCGATTAAGCGCTAAAATTTCAAAAGGTGAAACTCCTTAGGACGACCACTGAAATTCACTTTGGAAACTCACTGAACTTATTTCTAGTTTTTTCCCATATAAGAGCGTTGTCTGATAACCAGACCGAGACGAAATTTAAGCTCTCTTTGAGATGCTGTCAATCACCATTCTCTCCTATGTGATAACCAACAGTAATCGCCAGCGCAGATTATACTTAAACAATCGTTACACGCAAAGCTTTTGAGATCATTAAAAGTGGAGAAGGATGAAAGTTTGTGCGGAACAGTTTATTCAGTGTGCTCCAGAAGAGTGTATGAGTCAACGGTGGAGCACAGTCAGTCCCACCCACTTAAAGTACCCGGTGGAATTTAAATATCGGCAAGGAATCATCAATGCTCACAGTGGTTCCTGTAAAACAGCAACAATCTTTACCCACCAGAAGACCAATAACTCGTTGGTCGCCAACCTGTTAGGGTTACCACGCCGACCTCTCATCTCAAGCTTTAAGCACACCTTTCAATCAGAAGTTGAATTAACTGCTGCTACGATATTCAGAGGGCATCACCAAAGGGTCTGGAGCAAGAACTGCTTGAAATTACTGCTTAGTAAGATCTATATCCACGTATTGATAGAAACCAGATGGTGTCTAGGTGAAACCACTTCCTGGGGTGTTTAGACATACTGCCCATGAGGTGGCAAGATAGTGATATGCTGTAGGCCGCACTGCCACACACTTCCGATCAGCGTGAACGCCCCTTCCTCAAACATCTTGTCACATTGTCAGGTTTAAATATTTATGTAAGAAGCAACTGTATCACCTCATCTCCTGGGTAGTGATTACAGCAATGAATGACCCTCCACCGCCTTAAATGATTAGGCAAGTGTCATTTTTGACACTTTATACCTGTCAGGCCTTGCTGGTGTCAAGATTCAGCATTTACAATCATTTATTTCCTCATCAGGTTTCACCATCGTCAGGGGCCTCAGGCAGGGGTTTACAGGCATGTTAAACAAATCCTTCTGAAGCTGCTTTATGCTGTAATGGTAGCATAAGGAGATCATACGTGCAATCAACCTCATGGCTAATGCATAAGTTCACTTTAAGGTCGTAAGTGTCGCCATTTTTATCGTTTGCTGAGACTAGATTTAACCGACGGCAATTTTACTCCCTAAGTCTCACTGCCTCCAACTAGCTAAATTTTTTGCCTTAAAATCTGCCGGTGATATCGTACAAGGGGTCGAGAGTTGGTTGGCAACACTTTCCCTCACGTGTGCTTTTTGATGAGAACATTTTTTGCAAACCGATATTGAATTCGGTCTTTTTTGATTCATAACCTTATGAAACTAATTCCAATTTCGGTAAGATCCCATTTTGCAACCGTACCTGTTAGGGATTGGGGTCGGGGATAGGAGTTTGGCTGCGACTTGTCCACTGCAGGTACGACTACGAAATGCGATCCGACCCCAATTTCTCCTGCCCTATAAGCTTTCTCCCTCATCGGCACTTCAGTAGACTGTACACATAAAAAAGCTGTCTGCAGTTTTTCTGATACTACTTGTATGTTCTCATGTGACAATAAAAGCCAGCAAACGTACACAAATATGACCTGAAAAGGTTTTTTTCACTCCATAGACTGGCCCTAACAATGCCGAGTTCGTCGATGACTCCCCGTCGGATCTTTCAAGCTCCATGATTTCGGACTCAGGTATTACCCTCGGTAAGATGGCCGGATTTTTAAGTTCTCATGCTAAATTTAGTTTCTTTGAAAAGCGGTAAAACCGAAGCGTTGGCAGTCAGGCCACCGTCATTACTTGGAACAGTAGTTTCCCGTAATGAGTTACGAGCCACTGCAACCAATCGGCGAAGGAAATGATGTCGATCGGCGTCAAGCCCTTTGCACGCCGAGGGCTGGGTCCGACGACTCAACCATGAAGTTGGCAAGGTTTGCTAGGCGGACCATTGGCGGTATGAGTAAGCGGCTGACCTAGCGGCTAGGGGAGTAAACTACAAAATCTTACGTACGCTAAAGTAGGCAGCACAATATTGACCATTGGGTCGTAGCGGACTGAAATGATCAAGCATATAATTTGACTTTTGAACTAGAGCAAGGCACAAAGACCAGTGAATGTTATTGTCTTAGGTACCAGGTAAATTTTATCGTCATAGCTTAAAAAATCGGAGAAAAAAATATGACCATAGACAGTGTTCTAGTTGCCTTTTTGCAGCTGAACTGCAAGCTGTGCACCGTTTTCCACCTACACCTACACGGGTTTCAGCAAATGTGCCACTGCGTCTGGTTTATCCAATATCCAAAAAGGTTACTGTCTCTGTATCGGCGATCTTTCTGTTTCGCGTCTTGACGGATAGTCGCGTGTTCGCTATGCACCACTGTCAGAATACGGAACAAAATCTTTCTCAGAGGTCATTCAGATCGACGCAAGCTCCTTTTCAGCCATAAATGTGTGGGGTCCGCTATTTAACTCCCTTTGAAGAAGCATGTTAGTTAACGAAGAAATTCAACGTTTGGGGCTTTAAAAGCGCGCCTCTCTTCTCGGTCGTCCCGTAAACTGTGGCTATATGTTTCAGGTTTATTATCATCAACAGGGAGATTCTCAAAACTTCAGGGCTCGACTGTGACTCCATTCTGCATGCGATCCAAAATGCTGGTTATGCGTCGAGTTAGAGAATGGTTTTTTGATACCGCACTTCCAATTAACAAGAACTGCTTACTAATATCGAGTTTGACAGCCAACATAACTCCTCTGCCGTTTACCGGAAGATTCATGCACCAAAGCATGTGCACTTTTTCGCTAGTTTAACTAGTACAAAGGCAAGATAATCACCGAACAATAATTGTTGCGTTTCATATTTTTATGAACGTTGTCTTTATAATGACATTTTTTCTTAACAGCGGCAATTTACACATGAATCTCCTTGTTATGAGGAACGCATACGCAGCATACAACTCGCTCATTGCTTCCGTTCTCCTTAAAATTCCGCATTAAAACCAGAGCAAAGCGAGGGTAGGTGAACGTAGAGGCATTAGCCTACCAAGCACTCTTCCTTCTCTGTGTCTGTAACGCGCCTGCTGGTTGCCATTACTTATCCGAAGCGGACCTGCGCATTTTGGTCATCTTGTCCACCAGGGTTGTCACAGGAGACATATTAAGGAACAGCCGTCGCAGCCTGACTCTATCCCGCTCTCTCACGAACCAAGTACTCAACGTGTTGGTAGCCTTTCAAGCCATAATTTTTAAAGCCCACAGTCTCAGTTCTTGTGAAGAAGCGAGACACAGGATCGGTATTACTCTGACAGACCCAATTTCCATCCTCTTCCAGTCGAAGGACTATGTCGAGAATTTCAAAGGTGCCATACAGTAGATGTGCTAACTCATGAAATGTCAACCACAATTTCGAAATGCGTTCTCGTTTCGAAAAGATAAATTAAGTGGGGTTGTAAAACTTCTCATGATGCAACATAAATCTATCATGATCCAGTTACCTCAGGGTGTCGGCTTTCGAGAGAACTTATTTTCGGCTGCATGCAAAATCTATACACTGCAAAAAATGACTACTTACATAGTATGCAATTTTCTCATTGATTTTCGATGCCCTTGAAAATTCAATTATATTTCATGGAAAACATGCATAAAAATATTCATTCTTTTACTTATTTGGTAGAAAATCACGTCTTCTTTCTATTTAATACTCAAAAGAAGAGTATAATTCGGTTTTAAAAAACTTTTTTAATTCCCGAATAATTTTGAACCCGACCTGCTGTTACACTTGCATTCAGGGTTTCAAAACTACAAGCGGTATATTTTCCGTCTACGGAAAACCATGCATTTCTCTACGGTGTTAAGAGGAGACCATATGAGGTTCATAAAATTAAACAGTTGCTGTGAGCAATATTGTTAACTTTACAAGCCACATTCGTAAATGCAGATACATGACGTTTCATGAACGGCCGTTTAGCGGTTAAAAAATCTCACAATAAGAAACTTTTTAAAAACCGAATTATACTCTTCTTTTGAGTATTAAATAGAAAGAAGACGTGATTTTCTACCGAATAAGTAAGAGAATGAATATTTTTATGCATTTTTTCCATAAAATATAATTGAATTTTCAAGGGCATCGAAAATCAATGAGAAAATTGCATGCTACTTAAGTAGACATTTTTTGCAGAGTATAGACCTTGCATGCAGCTGAAGGCAAGTTCTTTCCAAAGCTGACACGTTGGGGTAACTGGATCATTATAGATTTATGCTGCATCATGATTAGTTTTGCAACACTACTTAATTTATCTTTTCGAAACGAGAACGCATTTCGAAATTGTGGTTGACATTTCATGAGTTAGCTCATCTACTGTAGGGCGTCGGGATTGCCTGTTCATATCATGGTTGGACAGGGGAATAAGTACTTTCCTGCTACAGGTGGTCTTACGCTGAATTCCAGGAGGAAGGTTCCTTTTCTCGCGCCCCTGCCTTAATCATAATTCGAACACTAGCCCTCAAACCCCCAACCTAACCTTAACCCTCCAGAATTCGGCTCAAGGCAACTTATCACGGGAGAGAGATACGCATTCCAGAGCCCTATCCATATTTTCAGCCTACGCATGCTATACCAAGATACTAGTCCCACCCGCAAGAGAAACACACCTCCTTTTGTAATCTAAAGTAGGCTTGTAATTTGGGTGTGTGGGATTATACATTATTGGTGACCCGGTTCTTTTACTTTCTACTCGAAGGATACATTCTGCCTCGTCTGGACCGGATATTTTTCGGGTGTGGCAAGGTGTTTAAATCGTAAATTCCGGTCGCTTCCATGTACTTTCTCTGCTCAAATGAGTTTTGTCCAATCTCTACTTACATTCCAAGTCCTTGTGCTTGGAGTGACATGGATGGATTGACCATTAAAGTTTAGAAATCCCTCCACTTTAGAAGGTGAATGGCTCGGTTGTAATCCGTGACTTTCTTAAAGACACTGGTTTTCCCCGCGTACGTCGTCGGCCGAGTTCCTGGTGCAGATGCAGCAGATCGGCACTTAATAATTTAATACGGCCGCCCTCATGACTTGTTTAACTGATCCTTATGATTTGATGCACGGTGTTAGCCCATGCGCCACAACATTTAGCGAGGAATGGAGGTCCCGGTGGTACACAGCCGTGGAAATCCCATGATTCCCACTCTATAGCCCTGCAAAAATGCGCTGAAACGCAAATATGGCCCAGTGCCTTATGTCGGACCAGTCCGATATTTTGCTGGCAGGTTCTTGCCACGTGCGGCTACTTACGCTGCCTGAGATATTACGGTGGAAACTGGGAGAAGCACTGATTTTGTGACTACATTTTAGTAACATCGACCATTTGCCAGAACTTTAGTCCTGACAATATGAAACTTCCGAATTCTTAAGGCCGTTAGTTACAAGGAAAACCTTCTTACGGCTGAGGTTATGACTTGACACTAAGAGCGGGTAAACTGGTTTAAATAAATATATTTGCTTTACGATTTAGTTCACTGGAGATTCATGACGGCACAACTGAACGAGTGAGTTCCGTAAGAACGATCGGTGAGCGCCCTTCTATCATTGTATATTCCCGATCGAAACCGACAGGACAACGGGCCCGTGGCCCAGTGGTTAGAGGCGTTAGACTCTTAACTAACAGGTCGCGTGTTCGAGCCCCAGGTGTTTCACATTTCGGGGTTAAGTATGAATGGCTGACGACAGCTAATAAGCCAGAAATGGCCATTCCAGTCTCCCTCTTCTTTGTCGGCAATACCATTCGGCCTATATGTAAGTCTGTATAACTTGACACTGCGAGGGTATTTAGGATTGGTCAGTTGTCTCTGATATTGTCAGACGTGTAAAGAATCCTATCAGCGACAAAGTTAAAAGGGACGCATCTACGATCGACTGCAGCCACCTCCTTGCCAGCTTAAATTTCAAAACAATATTTAATTAGTATTGAAAAGACCCGCAAAAAGGAATTGGCCTGCAATGTGCAGAACCGTTTTGTAACGCCCAAGCTAGTTGATATATCGGAGCCATCACCTGTAGGACAGCAGAAAATCGGAAATCACAAAAGAACGGAATTTATTCTGTGCATGGTGTGCTATTGGGCGTTTTAGCAGAACCAAAACATGATAGACGTTCATGTTTAAAAGTGAGCATTTATCCTCTAGAGTACTAAAAGAGACGTCCGCTACAGCAGCTTAATGTAGTAAACATTTGTCGCAGGGTCTACGGACGATGACAAGGCCGAATCAGAGTCCGTATCTGACCCAATTACCATCACCTGTTGCCTCTAGTTTAACATGTGGTAAGAAGGAGGCTGGGTTTCTTGGTAAGCCCTACGATTACTTTAGCAAATCAACTTATCGCTTGATTTAGGAGATTGTTTGGCAACTGTATTTTTGACAAATTGCTGTCAGGTCTGTACCGTTATATAGCAAGGGAAGTGGCTACTTCCTTCGGCGTTATCAGATCGGGGTGCTTCAGAGATAGGTGGCTCGCAAGCAATTTGTTTCTGCAATGTGTAAACCCAGATCCCCATGCTCTCGCCGGATATCTTTTTCAGCCTCTACTAATCATTCTTTGATTACCATGTTAATGCAGATAGTGAAATTCTGCATGGCTTAACATGCCTTATAAGAGTGTAATAAAGATATAGGTTTGTCTAGCAGTTCTTAAATTGCTGTACGCTCGCCACAATGTGACCGCCTGCCGTGGTTTAAAATGTCCTTTCAATACAAAACGGGGAGAACGTACTCGCGCCTTCATTCGATCGGTGAACGCCACTGTCACGTGACTTTAAAAATACGGCGTACTCCGGTTAATCCAACCGCCCCCTTATTGTGTCAGCCGCTTATTCGGGCTAAACATATCTGAGGGGCAGATGAGATTCACAACCACGAATTGATTTTGCCTACCAGGGTCACCACGTCGCTCAGGTGGGTTGGCCATTGTCCAAAGTCAGATTTCAGAGGCCCGTGGCCGCTCCAGCAGTCTGAATTTTGGACAGTTAAGGAGATTATCTGATAGCTGAAGTTCACCCGAGTGGTTTGCATAGGCCCGCAGCCTGTTTGACACATCAGACACGGCGACAAGGTGTCAATGCTGGTGATGACGCGTTATTCGGTGGTGTAGCCTCGCATCTTAGGGCGGACGAGCAAGCGAGGTTTTGCGTTATTGGCTCCTGGAGAGGGGGGGGGGTAGGGGTGGACGAGGATAGAGCTTGCGGCGCCTATTGACCACACGCTGGTCATAGATTGGCCCAAACTAACCTACCTGGTGGCGCAGCATTGGGACGTTGAGATGAGACTTGACGCTGACTGACGAAACTGCCCCACTGAATTAATTGGGCGCCCTGACAATGTTAAAGGTCCACCTTGCTTTTCGGGTACAACACAGCCGCCTGAAAAGATTAAAGGCAGGTGCATTTCTAACGACTTCTAGGCGACTGCTCCGACCGGTCGGTTCATATGTCGTCTTATCTATAACCGTGAAAACAAACGTAGGAATGGTTGAACTCCAGCCACCCAGTACGCCCCCCCACATGAGTCCATTCGGCGATTGCATGGAATCAGTGTAACAGAATATGGGCAACTAACTTGTCGATCTCAACAGGAAGGCTGTCTCCTCTATCGAATGCATTCAGTTTTTTGCTGATGTCTTCATCGGTGGGAGGATCAGGTGAGTTCTCTCCCGGATCACAGGTGAAGAAAGCTGCGACCGGTTGATCGCCAGTTTTATTTTAGACACGTAATCACCATCGTAAACGGATTTAGTCGGGACAGGGGGTCCAGCGCAGATATGGATCCCCGTATCACAAGCGACTCTGCCGTAAATTCCAGGGGGATAGGTTTTGTGTTAGGGCTACTGTTAAGGTTGGGATTATGAGGGTTGGCGTTAGAGCCGGGGATAAAGGCAGGGGGATTGTAGTTGTGGTTACCGTGGAGTTAATACTAAAGTTATGACATGGAAATAGGTACTCCTTGTAATTTTGGGCGAAATCACCTGCAACACGTATGGAGGGTCCATATTTCCGTGTCCGACGCAGACTTTGACGATTACCTTTCGGTGGTGGCTTGCTCATCAGTTTGAAGTGTGCTGTTTAGTTAGATTTTCGGTTTCTGGGACACCAATATGCTGGGTCGCCACAATAAGAGTGGGAAATGTCGATGGAACTGAAGTCATGATTGGTAGACTGACCAATAAATGCACCTAAGGGAAACAAAACTTCCCTTTCTAGACAACCCTGAGTTTAAAAGACTCATTCAACGGAATTATAAGTGATTTTGAAGAATCACGTCTACAGTTTCGAGTTAAACTTTACCTGTAAAGTTAGCTTATTTCGCAATTCGAAATGGAATTAACCATGGTCTTTAAATTTTATCTGCCTAACTTTCCTTCTTAACATAATTTCTCCTAATGCTCATTCTTAAGCCATTCAGCTGAAAATTTCCTGACAAGCTGATTTTCCATTTTATTTATTACCGGTCACCCAGTTCATTAACATTATCACTAATGTGGTCATACCATGAAGGTTTCACGTGGTTTTCTTCTTTGCTCTACGAGGCCACTCTGTAAGGGACACAGCAGCATTCAATTTACTGTGGATAATATCTGAATACAGGTTCATTCTTTCCAAGGAATCAATTCGCTGGAGTCCATATCCTGAAGTCCGAAAATCTTACATCTTCAGTACCTGAAATCTGACCTCTTATTCAGAGCGATTATACCATAAAGGCTGGCAGGCTTTAGTGGGCACAAATCCTATATTTAGAACTCTTAATATGCCCGACGCATTCAGGAGCTTTGATATCAATAGGGGCCAATCGTGCTCTCAGTCGTTGTATTCAGTTCCGTTGCACTGGATTTTCGTTGGGGACGCTTTCATTGACTGCTTTTCAGCGGCTGGATATGTCATCCCAATGACTTCTTTGTACCGTCCCTCCTCCTGGTGGTTACCATGGACTTTCTCCCCTCTGTCTCCGAACGTTCTTTCGTCTTCCCGATAATATCCCTGACTTTCGTTTCACCCTGTGTTATCGCTCTGTTATCCGTGGATTGACTACTTTAGCCCTATGACTTAAGAGCTCGAAGCATAGTAGGATAAAATTGTTTTGATAACGATCTGCCTGCACTAGAATAAAATGTCCTCGGGCGAAATTAAACAATTTTTTGAAAAGTTGTAGCATACCTTTCCGTCACCTTTGACTCACTTTTTGAATTTTGCACAAAGACGTTTATGTGCAATAATCTGTGCATGGTACGACATGGCACAATTAACCTATTTCTGCCCCATCCGGCAGAGAAAAGCCATTAAATCTAGTGTCGCGACTGCGAGATTCGAAAGTAGAGCTACCGCCTCTGGTAACTCTCCTAGCACAGAATGTTATTGCCGACAAAGGCGAGGGTGACTGGAGGGGCCATTTCTGGCTTATTAGCCGTCGTCAGCCAGTCATATCCAACTCCGAGGTGTGGAACACCTGGGGCTCGAACACGCGACCTGTTAGTTAGAAGTCCAGCGTCTCTAACCACTGAGTTACGGGCTCGTTGCCCGGTCCGTTTCGATCGGGCATTTACAATGGTAGAAGGGCACTCCCCGATCGTTCTTACGGAACTCACTCGTTTCCTTGTGCCTTACGGGCTCTTTCTCGAACCCAACCAGCAGCCGCACAGCGGCGCATGATACAGCCGAGATGATGTGACAACCTGGGCATGGACGCGGCGCTCTTTCGCGTATTTATTTCGAATGTTTTTGCGAAGAACATTCTCCCAGAATCTCCGACAGCTTTGCCCTGCCAATTCTGAGTCATAATCCTTAAAAGTTCAAACTGCTGTGCCTACATTGTAATTAGTGCAATGCATGTGATATCCAGCAACTAGTCATGTTTAAGGACTTCGTATTTCCAGAGGCTTAACTGTAGGGGGCTATCATTCCACTGTTATTCAATCTGACTTTTAGCTTTCATCTACGGCTTCGCGAAATCGTGCTGAATGCAGCGTCTACGTTCCAGGTAGCTCATGACCTGGTATGCAAGCACCTATGGGATTTCGCTGGCGTAGCTTGTCTCGGTCACTAGGAGGCAGTTAAACATGTTGTGATCCGCATTAACACGGACTGCGTGCCAGGCCAAGAACCGGGATCGAGCTAGCCTCCAATAGTCTTAGCTTGTCCTTGACATTGGGGCACGATGGGTGTTAGAGATTAGTGCGGGGCCAATCCTGCACAAGACCCTCTATCTATAATCCGGTTCACCCGCAGGTTGCCGCTGATTCCCCTGGTGTGTTGGTGGTGGTGGTGGTGGTGGTGGTGGTGGTGGTGGTGGTGGTGGTGGTGGTGGTGGTGGTGGTGGTGGTGGTGGTCAGTGTCGTATCAAACGGACGAACGGTCAGAGTTCGTCTGTTTACGGCCGCTTATAATAATCATTCGTTCTTATTCCACTATTTATAGACGATCAAGCACAAAAAATGACGCAAAATTCGGGCCACAGCCTTCAATCTTCTTCTATTCCCTCAAATCCTGTCATATCTCGCCTTCACGCCGGTAAGGATTCTGAGGAGAGCGCTTTCATCGAGTCGCTCCCGTTCCTCTTTCAGAGTCTGGAGTATAGGTAAGATCTAAAAGGTGGTTTGTGTTGTTGCGTTATCATAATTTGCTTTATCTGGTTATTTGAATAAGGCAAAGGCGACAAAGCATGCAGAATTTACTGACGTCATAAATTTCGAGACCTCTCTCCTCCTTCCCCCCTCGCCATGCGCACCCGCATACTAGACCCATGTTTCATGTTACCTATCACGTTTTGTCTCTCTAGGTCGATCACTGTTGAACAGTTTGCCTTGTCATATAACCGTGTGCGGCTGAATGAGAGGTCTCGAAATTTATGACGTCAGTAAATTCTGCATGCTTTATCGTTTTTATCTACAGTTAGTGACCTAGCTCATGAAATGTGTCGAAATTTACGGATGGTTGCCAATCACTCGCAAACCGACACCATTTCATGAGTCCAATGTCTACGTTACTTAAGTACAAGTTTAAAAGACTTAAAAAAATAAAAGAAATATTAAAGACAGTGTTGCGTTGTTTAGAAATTCCGATTTATTTTGAAAAGCGCAATATCCCGAAAACGCCAGAAATGGCTCTAATTAAGGAAAGTTCGTTTTTAGATGTATAGAATGTATTCTCATACCAGAACGTAGTAACTATGAATGTAGACATAAAATAACGTCTAATAACAGTGTTTAGTGAAGTTTACATCTAAATGTCGTTTAATAAGTAGCGTGATTTCATATATGACTGTTTGCCACCTGCCTACGTTCCGAGTGTACATTTCAAAACAGTTTTCCAGTGTTTCGTTTTTAATTGTATTTCCTTGATGTAAGTGAGACCTGGCTCAACAAGAGAAGCTGGATTTTGCTTGATTTAACCGATGGGGACGTCGTAGGAGCAAAAGTTTTCATAAGGTGACATGCCATGAGGCCGGTCGGTGCCTAATAAATTTATAAAGAACTGACAGGCGTGATTGTAAACATACCATTTTGTGATTCTAGAATGAACTTTTCTTCCGTTAAATTAATTTACATTTCCCGTTCGTTTTGGATTACGTTGAGTTTCAGCTGGGCTTCCATATGTTGCTAAATACTTCATGATTTTCATTTTTTTTCACTCGATCTTCCATAAAGACAGATTCTGAATCACCTGTATGTTGAGAATTTTAAAGTAAGATTATTCTTGAAGGCATTTACTGAATTATCGAGTGTTCGAGCGCTCCTATTCACGCAGATGATCGTTTGGGTCGCACGTGAAGACTCGTAGTTATGCTATTTGTGACTTACACAGCAATCATCGAGAATGTCACCTTTGCGATTTATCCAGTGCTTCAAGCAAGACTTTATTCTGGCTTTCATAGAACTTTCCGTTGAACTAACAAACTCTTGGATGACTTGTGTTGTTACGTTTCATATCTTCGTTGAGATACACGGTCAAAAGAGATGATTATGCTCATAAACAGCAGGACGGTGTTCTGAAATCTACTCTTCGTTCAAATTTCGAAGTTCACTTTTAGGAATCGTTCAAATTTTGATACAAAAACCATGCCCTCAGCACGCAAGTCGCCGTTTGAGGGTTGTCATATCTGCCAGTCAACCACGCGGTGACCGAGGACACATCTGATATAATGCGATGACTCTTCGGATTGAAGCGGACTAACAAACTGCGAGTCACCAGGCTAAGTGTCGTGTGAGTTCGTCACCATACGATCGGGCCGCGGAAACTCAGCTGAAAAGACCTCCAAACGCGAAACATACTCGCCGTACTACTAAAGATTGGCCTATGGGGAATAATTGTTAGGGAATCTGATTCCACGGCGATATTGGTTCGGTTAAATTTCAGTAGCATGTATATACCTAGTAGATGTGCTATTTCACGAAGCGTTGAATGAAATTCTGAGATGATTTGCCGATTTGAAAGGGTTGTTTAAGTAGGGTGGTAACATTAATTTTCATGCAGCACGATCCCAGGATATTTTAGTCACACTGGGGTGCCGGCTTTTGATCGAGCCCCCTTCCGGCGGCCTATAAAAATATAACTGTAAAAAATGGCTACTTAAGTAGTTTGGTTTTTTCACTTCGATTTCCGGTGCAGTTACAAATTTGAATGCACTATAAGAAAAAAATGCGAAAAATATTTATCTACTGTACTCAGTTGATAGCAAATCACGTCTCACTCAGATTTTGCACTCGAAGAAGGAATTTTCATACACGTTATCTTTAGTGTATTTGAATTTATAGAGGCACCAAAAATCAAAGCGAAAAAAACTATACTACTTAAGCAGTCATTTTTTACAGTTCAGTTCTTACAAAATGCCAGAAAGAGGCTCGATCAAAAGCCGGCATCCTACTATGAAGAAAATATCCTGGGATCACGTCGCACGAAAATTAATGTTAGCACCTTACTTAAGCAACTTTTTCCAATCGCATGTACATGCTATGTCCCGGCGGGTGGATAACGAGGGAGGAGCGCGGGTTGTAGGGGCAACCCTTCTATTTTGACGGTCCGAGTAATAAGTTTCGAACGCGCTAAAGCACGCATTTGTTATCGGACTCCTAACGGCCCTGAAACGCCTTAGACTTTGGCGTGCTGGTCGTTGATTATCTCTTTCGCGCTCAACAAACTCTAGCGGAAAAACCGCGAATATTTGGACTTTCTGCCTGAGAAAAGACACTAAGGTTGCTTAGTGATGCAGTACAGGCTGATTAGCTAGCTGTCTGTGCGTGTACGTTCTGCAGCCACCTTGGCCTGATGTGCGTACGTGGCCGTGCTTCCTTTCGCTCAAAGTCGTAACTTCATCCTGTTTCCGCCCTCCGCAACTGTTTACTTTTCGTGCGTAATCGATCATATCCTTGACCCCCTATAACTTCATGCACCTCCCTTAATGCTCAATTGTTTTGTGGCCTAGATTAAAAAGTCACAAATGTCCTTTGAAATCCTGAAACATTTCCAACGTGTACAAGGCAGATTGGAATGGCCGTTTTAATCAAAACAGCCGACATTATCCAGTAGAACTTCATCCCCCTCGACCATTGGGGACCTCATGTTTGCTGGTCACCCACCATTTGTTTCAAGGAGACTAGCAGTTATACCATGAACCCACGCCCGGATGTTGCCATCAAGAATTTTCAGTAATATGGGACTTCAGCGTATACACACCGCTGGACAGAATTTGGCTGCACAGTGAAAACCACCCACGCATGTCAAGCTACAATATAAGAAGCATTTATGAGCCCAATAACATAACATATTTTCGCTTTTATCTTTTTAACTTACTGGAACTCCGACCTCCAGAACGCCTCGAAATGCCATCTAAATATACGAAATTCAACATGTACAGGCTCTTCCATGTCATGTGTCTCGTTGTCGCCGTTAAACATAAGCTATTTGAGTTTGTGTATAGACATGTTGGGCTGGCGGAAATTGTTTGCAATTGTTTGCCGCGAGTAGATCGGTGCAGAAGAATTAATGCCAATGCCGCAATCCACGCATTGGTATTCGAGTATTAAATGCTCCCGGACCCCGACAAACTCTTTAAACAATCAGTTTTCGAGGGATCGTTGTCTATTCCCCTACACAGAATTCAGTCATTTATGTCCTCATAAAAGTGTTCAATTCACATCTCTGTCTCTCTAGGGCTCTACACTAGGCAAACTACGCTTACCCTCCTGGTTTAAAGGAATTTGGATGTAAATCTACTGCCTCAATAAACCGGACTTTGTGTCCATTATCCAATGCGAGATAATAGAGCCTACTCCTTATATTGACATACCCGAATGCGAATGCATACTGACCGGGCGAACATTGTTCGTACCGTATGAAGGAGTTGCTAGCACGCAGTGCAGTAGAGCAAATAATCGATTTCCACCAGGCTCGACGTTATTGAAATTGCATTAGGCAATCTACGCACATACAGCTTCCCTGCGTATTTGCCAAAACTGTGATCTACGGACTTCAGAGGATGTTAGGCGTAAATTACTTTGTAGCAGCACTTACTTGAGGAGAAAACTCATGAAGACACACTAGTTGGAGGTGCTGATGCCGAAATTCGGTTCGATAATAATGCCAACACACTTGCAAGGTCCCAACTACAAACTGCCTGCATAGTGTATATACATATGCTTGAAGAGTTGCAGGCAAAGCCCTTAATGGCCTGTTAATTTACAGATAATTTGCATATTTACAATCAGCAGAAGATCGCAAACGGTTAAAACTGTATTCGAGTCAAAAGACGATACAATAAAAACGATTGTTCTTGTTCAATTTATGAATCAGTGCGTAGAGGAAGAGCGGACCACGAAAAGCCTTACATGATTGGCTGTAAGAAATCGTGTTGTGGAAGACGTGTTTTCTCAGAACTCTTGTAATCTAGTTTTCTTTTAAAACCAGACATGGTGTCGCCTGTCACCATCTCGCTTAATAGCAAGCTCCATGGCCTGACTACTCGTTGGTTGACGAAACATTTTCTGAGATCTGGTCGCGTTCACTTGCCTCTGACCCTGTGCTGATGACCGCGCAGGTGAGTTGTGCATGCAAAACCAAAACTCCCCAGTTTCAACGAGCAATTATCGTCATGAACAATCCGGACTGTCCAGATGAGGCTATGCATTAAGGGCCTGCATGATAAGGGAAATAATTCTAACTCTTTCAATCTGTCCTGGTGCGATAAATCGTTGAGACCATCGACCATCTTTGTTGCCCCGCATTGAATCTATTCAAGGAGATCAATATCTTTCTTCATCCACGGTGTCCGGGCTGGCATTCTGTAATCCAAATGTGTTTCCTTTAAGACGCCAAATATTTTTCCGAGGAGTTGAGGAGGAAGTATTCTAAAAGCACCTCTGATCCAATGCAACATACTGGTTGCCTTCTGAACCACCTTATTACAGTGTTCTGACGGCATCTAATTCGCTGCCGTCCACATGCCCAGATCTCCTTGCTTTGTTATATCTTTTAATGCAGTACCGTGAAGGAAACACTAGTGTTTTGCAGAGACCTACCGGCTGACATAAAGATGTAGGACCACGCATTCGGACACATTAAACTTAAGACGCCACCCGTTCGATCAAACGCTCGGTCTGCCTCTGTTCGACGGCAATTTTTGTGCGTCTTCGGGACAGTTGACTTCAGCGCATATTTTTATCCTCGGCAAACATGACAGCTTCACGATTCAGCTCCCTCATACAGTTGTGCACATAGGTCAGGAAGAGCAGTGGGTCTAGAGCAGATCCACTACTAAGTAGAATCGTCAACTAAACTCTCTGCGCTCTAGGGAACGGGAGGCCTTAGATCCATTTGGGCATTCCGCCTTGAATTTCTGTTTCCCAAATCGTTTGTAAGAGAAGTTGGTGTGGTACACTATCGACGGTCTTCCTGAAGCCAAAAGTACTGCATCCATTGGACTGCCCCTGTCTGCGACCCTCGTAAGTCTTTCATGCTAGCCAAGAATACGCCTGAGGGAAGACCGTCCTCGGTGAAGGTCATGCTGGACATCATACAATAGGTCGTTTTCCTCCAAATAGGCCGTTGGGTATTTTTTTATAATGTCCTCCATTATTTTGCAGGAGATGCATGCTAGACTAAGTAGGCGGTACTTTTCAGCATTTATCCCCCATCCTCCCTCGTAGGTTGGGGCGATAAGTGCACTCTTCGATTCGTCTGAGAGGTTGCCTACTTCTGAAGACTCCTGGAATAGTGGTTCGCATAGTTTATTGGCAGGTTACCGAAGTGTGATTGCAGGTATTCACCCCGGATAGGGCGATTTTGTGTTTGCGCTTGTTTTTATTTCCAGGCACTGAGTAGAGGAACGAAGAAAATGGACACAGCTGCTGTCTCACTCTTCTCCTTCTTCGTCAGTTCACCTCTGTTATTGGTTACCCAGTCGCATTGTGACACGCAAATGTTTGCCTGTTCCACACCCACACCACCAAATTTGATGCTTGTTTACTCCGCGAAGCCAGATGGACCAGCGTGAGCTCGCGGAAGGATATTCACTTTCTTCAGCCGTTGCCATATACGGTTCACGTAAACACCGTCTTAATGCGGTAGGTTTCGACAGAACGTAAGATCTAGGGGTATCATCAGAACACCATTTCGAAAGAATTCTGCAATGGTCAACAATGAACTAACTGCGGAGAAGGACTACACCCAAATGTTAAATTTATGCTGAATCTGGTGGTACTCGCATCAGGCAGGTGTCACAGTGTTTCACTTGGAGCGAGCGCGTTCGACTGGAAGAATGTCAAGCCTAGCTTACGTTCCTCCGATAAGGCCTGCCGATGCAAATGTTCGTTAGTACATCAGTTAACGACGGAGAACTACGCAAACATACAGGAGATGTATACTACTGCCACGATTACCTGGACTGACACAGGGAGCGTTCTGCTGTCGTTAAAATTTCGGTTTAAAGTGAGTGGAACCAGCCGGTTTTAAGAAAGCGCAACTGACGCTTTGCACTTACTTTGATATTTTCGAGCAATTCGAATGTCCTAAGCTACTGGCTACGTAACTCAGCTCATAGCTTTTGTGTTTTTATGTGTATTGAACGTCCAGGGACTGGTATGGAAGCGGACAGGGATACTTCGAATGCGGAAGTTTGCCAGGGCGATTTAAGGAAGTCATCTCGGGTCGAGTTAAGCGGTCTCAGTGCCACTAAATCCAAAGTGAGCAGCCGTAGGAGGCGTTGGAGAACTCAACAGTTGTGCCGCCTAAAAGGGACCCTCGAAGGATGGAATGGAATAGATAAGAAACTGACGGGCAGTGGTGTACTCTTTTGGAAGTTGAATGTTTGAAAGTCAGTAGGACCGGAGGACACAAAGTGGCGCCTTTAACATCAGAAAGTATAAAAGTAAGGATTTCTTAATGTGGGGAAGTCATGTTTTGGGGTTGTACAGAAGACTAAGAGCCATAGAGCGGACTGAGCACTTTTCCCCTCAATTCAGAATGAAAAAATTGAAATTTGCTTATTCAAACTTGTTCCGAGAGTAACGCATTTCGGTAAGAATAAAGTATATGACCGGAGTAGGGTTACTATCGTGAACTGCCTATCTACATAGTCGTTGTTCGGCTGAGTTCTCGTTCGAAGCCCAGTCACGCTCTTCGACGGCTCTAAGCCCGGCGGAATGACACTCCTTGAAGTAAACCGCCTAGAGGACACAGTGCTGCAAACGTGTCAGTATACACTTATCGTTCTGCACCCCCACAGGCAATTCTTCAGTAAAAGGGAACAGACTTGTCCGCAGTTGGGGGGATGCAAGAGTCGTTTTTCCATGCCTATTCCCACCGTCCACATCGCCGTCCTTTCCGGGCAACCAAGGGAGAACATTATGACACGACCTAGTCCCTTACGTCCGCAATACGGTCCGCGCTGTTCAGCCCAGATCAAAGGCGTGGTTAGATCGAAGTTGTTAACCAGGAATGAGGAGGCGGACAGCCAGGTCCCCCTCGTACGGGAATGGTGGGAAAGAGGTTATGCAGGTGGAATAAATGAAAGGGCTGGTAGAGGAATGGTGGAGTTTCTGGGAAAAAGTAAAGTTACCGAAGGAAGTGTTGGGAAGCATTAAGAATGTGGAATAATGCCAGAAATTCAAAACCTATCCTTAGCCCTAAAATCCAACCCTCACCGCAACCGTAAAGCTCTCAAGCCTAAGCCTCCAAACCGAAAAGTAACCCAAATCCGAAAACCCAACACTAACCCAAAACCTAGCCATAACCCTAACCCTAACCTTGACCGTAACCCTAACGTGAACTATAACGGGAACCTAAACCGTAATACTGAAACCTGACCCTAAAATGCAAACCCTAATCCTAAAACTTAACCTACGCCTAACCCTAAACCTAACCCTCAATTAACCCATCAGCCTGACCGAAACGGGCGACCTGCCTAACTCAGTAAGAGCACACCTACTGATATCAAGTTCCCTAGACAAGGTAAGCACACCTATGTGTAACAAGTACGTACGTCGACAGTATCAACGTATAATGTCTGGCTACCAAATGCGATCTTACCAAAGGCGTTCCTACACCACGTCTACGTGGGCACCTGCCGCACTGCCGGACATGGGGCCTCCTTCGCGTAGTTTCTTGTTAAGGCATCCCCAGTACGCCTCTATTGGGTCCCACCCGTATAACCTTACTGCCACCATTCCCTTAAGACACGCTTCACTGGTTACCTTTTTCTGGCCCTGATCGTATACTTTATCCTTGTCCGCATTTCTTCCAAGGAAGAAAATTTTACTCAGCTTTATTATTTTTATGGCGCCTACCAACACTGCCTGCATCTGGGTCCTAAACATTAAAATTGTCATCAAGGGCTGATATTATTTAGATTCGATACATTCACATACCTACTCGACATGCGTAAACTTTGGTTCCGTGCCCCCTTCCCGATGCAGTGAATTCGAGCTGAACCTTACATGGTGGAACCAACTTCATCCATCGCAACCCATACACACCTACCGTATTCCAGATGAACAACACGAGGCCTGCAGAGGCGATAGCGAGATAACTGCGGCGTCCGGTACGCATTCTCAGACCGTCAACGTGCGCACGCAAATTTCCCACTGTCCCACGGACTGTGTGTGGGTGTTTTGGGACAAAAAGTGGTTTTCGTGGAAAACGGCCGCGATCCGCCTACGGATCATGCGAAACCTCAATACTGCAATCTCACAGGTGAGTAGTATTGTTGAATTTTCTGCGGCAGTTGGTGAAAAGTACTCGTCCCCGGGAACGATAAATGTCAGGACGGCAGTACAGGACATGCCTGAGAAATCAGATAGTCTCAGATCTTACCGAAGACGTAGGCCACTGGCCTGCAATTATATTTGACCGCAAATACTTCGCAACACAATTTATATGAACAGTTTTCCGACTTAAAAGTTAAGCCAGTAATTTCTTCAATCTTTCAGTCGATTTAAGCTTTTTTTAATTACCAGAGAGTTTTAATTTTACCGGGCTGCAAGGTCAAGCAGATTACGTAGCTTTCGAACAGTGAGCTCGGACCACCAGCAGACCAGATTGTCTGATGAGGAAAGACTAGGACTGTGGTTAGGCATCGTTTGGTAGGCAGTACTGGCAGCTGTCGGAAACAAACTCGCAGTCTTTAGGTGTGTTTTCGGTCCGAAGAGGAAAAGGTGAATATGGATGAATGCGATGTAGGGACAGATAGGATTATTTTGCTTTTAATGAATATAGGATTTAAAGTCTTTTAACCAGTTTTGAGGCGCAAATGAGAATAATTTCAAAGTAGGTTGTTGTTCCTTTGACCTGATCCACTTGCAGAGTAATATTTATTAAGGCAGAGAGTTACTGTGCAAATCTGCATGTGTTGGTGATCATTCCTTCTACATTCTTGAACAAGACAGAGTAGGTTTCACACACCTTAACCTCAGCTTAATTTGATCAGCCTCTGTTCAACTGTCTTCGGCAGTTTAAAACTGCTTTTTCAAGATAAAAAGGAACTTGTCTATTCCGTCCCGCAGTCGGTGAGCGCCACGCCACGTGACTTAAATACGGCGAGTTCTGATTAATCAAACCTCGGCTTCATCGCGTCAACCGCTAATATGAGTCACGTCTATTTTAAGAGCATAAGCAGAAAATATGCAGAACCGCGAACCGGGTCTGCCTATTGGGGACACCACTACGCTTAATTGGCCTTAACTATCGAATAAGAATTGAAAGACATGTGACTACGCGAGATTTCTGAATTTTTGACAGACCAGGTGGCGATCTGTTTGCCAGAAGTTCAATCAAACATTGTAATACGAACTGCTCTGCAGTCCAACAGGTCTTGCGCTAAATTCCAGCGGGTTCCCATTCCCGTCTTTTAACTTTAACCTAACCCCAAACCTAACTCTGCTATCCCTAAACCCAATGCTTACACGAACTCTCGCAAACCAAACCCTGGCCATAACCCCAACTCTAACTTCCCCTGGAATTTGAGGCAAGACCACCTGTAAAACTGGGGTGTCCACATTGTCGTCCCAATTCCCAAGTCCAGTCGAGTGGTTTGCATAGACCTACAGCCTATGCGGCGTCGTGTGTGACCCATCGAGCATGGTGATGACATCATCCGGTGGGGCAGCTTGGCGGCTCAGGACGGCCAAGCAGAGGGGACAAGATTATATCCAGCGCCTGTCGGTAAATTGATGTTCACCGGCTGACCAAAACTAGCTTCTATCAGTCTGGCGAGACAAGGCTGTGACGTGGGGAAAAAGCGTAACTCTGACGGATACGATTGCCCTGTTTAGTTGGAACAGACGCCAACAGCCGAACATTCTTCACCGCCAGATTGCGGAGGAAATAGGCGTGACAGCGTCTACAAGTGCTCGTTTGAAACGACGGCGAGAGTAAATGGGGGGCGGGAATGCACCCTGCCTGCTAGGTGCCACTGAGCGCCCAGAGACGGATTCGGGCTGGGACGTACTCAGACGCTGGTGAAACCCTTAGTCACTCGTTCTTCATTGTAGATCTCAGCAACGGGTCAGCTGCTTATTCACTGAGAGGATTGGATATGCAGCTTACTTCTTTCAGCTTGTCGGTTGTGCCAAGTGGTTCTGTTGTAAATAATTGTATTGGATTTTGGACAAGCTACATAAAACCGCCTATATGTGTTATAATCATAAAATGATAGGTCTCTTCATCTATCCTTGATCATATGATGTGATGAATGTGGCAGCTAATTAAAAAATGCACGCAACAATGCTAATTCAACTGTTTGGCATGAAAAGGAAAATTGCTATCGTTTTCGCGCATAAATACGCTATGTTAACAATGCCGCAATGTTCCTTTTCAAAACTCTTGCATAAAACATAGGTTCCATATTTTTCTCGCAAGACAAAAAATTGTCATATCAGAAGGCAAAAGTGGAATTCTTTGAATAAACTCCTTCCATGCTAAGCTGATTGTGTGGCATTCAGTTGTCTTAAAAACCTTTACCTTATTTTTTTTTGTTTTTCCCCATTTCGACGTAATCAAGGTTTGTATCCATAAGTCCGTAGCTCTTTTTTGATACGGCAGTATAAGACAGTTCGATCGTCGTTACCGACGACGTCCACCGTGTGCTCCACAGCAAGGTGAGATCAGGCACGGTGACTTGCGCGCGAACTAGTCCATAGTGTTAGCAGGCTTGCACTGCATTTACCACACCCACTGATCCTTCCCCACCTGGGCTCGATGTCAAGACACAGTCAAGTAGATCGGAGGCGGGAAAGGGCGGAGGTGGTTGACACGACCGGACCCGCACCTAGGCGTACCACCACACGCCCTTGTCCAAAACAAACACGACAAAAATCTGTCAGAAAGAGGAGGCTGGCACAAATCACTGGGCAACCACGCACACGGCCTGTATACCCAGCCGAAGCGCCAGCCCATCCATCGGCAGGGAACCACGTGCCCGAGAACCGTCAGCGCGCACCAGACTGCGAGAGCCATGGCTTATTGAATCATGACATGGTAGACGCGCATAATCTTTAAAGCCCAGAAAGGTGGGACACGGCCCTGCATTTGGCCTGGGTCATCACCATTCAAAGGCCGGGTAACAAGTAAGCCATTGTCCGAGAGGCGCCACCCATACACACACACACACACACACACACCTCACATGCGTGACTGTGTCAGAGGTCACGTTGAGGAGCCGTTGCAGTCTGGCTCTCAACCCATCAGTCCACAACTCCATACACGCACAACCGGACAGACTGCGTGGACTGAGTTGAGGTGCCGGTCGGCAATTTTCCAAGTCCATCGATTGGGGAGTGAGAGATGTCGCGATGTTGACGGAGCTGGCCACTGTAGTTGACACAGCGGCTGGGGCGGGGCGGATGATGTCGGTTATTGATGGCGGCGAGTTAGTGACAGTGTGATCGTCGCTGACGGGTATGCGATACGAGCGGGAGTGGAAGAATTTGACGTTGCTATGTTGTTTATGCATTGCGTCCTACTTCTTAATAATACATAGTGTCAGACTAGCGATTTTATCTTGCAACAAATAGTTGTTTTATTAATGATTCGAAAAGGTTGCTAGAAACCCTTTAACTTTCGGGTTTCGGTCATTTCCTGTAATCGTTGGTGTAAGAGACGGATTTAGACGTTTTCCCTGTGTTTGGTTAATCCGCGCTTTACTTTACTGCCATAGTATTCGTCAGTATTTGAACCAGAAATGGGCCATTTGTCAACGGCACTTTAGGGCACAAAATCGCACAGATCTGCTAATTTGAATCCTATAACTCGAAAAAAACATCTGGTTCTTTTAAAATAACCTTTGTTCTAGGAAGTTGATTACCACGGTTACCATCGCACAAAACATTAATTTCCAAAACCCCTGTTTATTTAAACTCTCTGGAGTAAATTACTCTCCTTCCAAGGGAAAACCAGTTCAGATGGGCAACCGAAGTCCAGAACAGGTATTAGCATAGGAAGTTGTCGGATCGTACCGCGACGTCCATTTTTGACCAAATTTATGAATATTTTGCTTGAAACAAACTACGTTGACCCAATTTCTGCACAAGATGAGGACATTTCCTAAAGGCGGCTGCGTGGGCAAACAAAATGCGCAACGTTTAAGGCGTCCTAAATTCTTGCACGAGGTTCTGTCACCAGGTTTCATGATATAGGTCACGTATTGTAACTATTCGTATCATTTACTCTGGATGCCCTGCAAAATCTCAGCGTCTGGAGCTAACGCTAATGGACATCGACCGACGAAACCCCGCCTACACCCTTTTGCCTGAATCACCCCTTTTGATGGACCCACTTCCCGGCGATGCTATAGGACCAGTAACCGAATCCCAAACCCTCCAGTCAACCAGTCCTAGCGATCCAGAGCGCGGAATCGGCATTCCGGAGGACGCTTCCAAACGTCGTATCCCCAGCCTATCATCAGATTCGGACAGACAGACGGATGGCACCTACATTCGTTTCGGTTCCGGGTGAGTTAACATTAAGCCTGAACTCGTGCTTACCACTTCAATGCGGTCTGTCACTGTCAGAGAATATGTCAGAGTCGTTCAAACCCCACTCGAATTCGCCACTTCCAGGCTAATAAAACCTATACCACCCTTCGGGTAGCCCAACACGACAGTTGGATCGTCGCGAAAGACATCGTCCAGCTAGAGTATCACGGGGTGAACACATCACCAACAGCCTCTAATTTGCTGCAGCACACATATAAAGGCAGTTGAAAATACAGCCTCTCCCACCATTTCTTTCTTTGATGTGACTTAACACCGTCAGCACACGCCGTGTCCTCTCCAGCGGCCACTGCTTAGACAGCAATGGCAGATGTTATCCGCAGTAAATCCCACATTCTAGTGTTTTCGGCCATATCTTGCTAACTGAGACATGACCTGACAATTATGACTCTCCGAAGTACAATCGCCATCTTAGACACCAAACAGTCACCAGAAGTCAAGGACTTGTTTGTCAATCATACAAAATCTTGTCAACGTGATTTTAATAATCACGCCAGTCGTTTTATATTGAAAAAGGCGCTGGCGAAGTTTCACGAGTGAAGAAGACATTCAGCCTCTCGATTGTTTCACGCCAGGGAATCTAAAGTGTGCTCTGCGAGACTTAACCTCGAGGTTTCGTCGAGTCAACAGAGGCACTGCTCTTCTTCTGTACGCCATCTTGCATGCATCATATGTTCCCACGTCGCTTAGGTAACCAAGTAGCGGGTGTGGTACATTGCACTGGTGATCTCCAGGACTAAAAATCAGAGTGACAACGCTTACGAGGTAGTTTTTATCAGGCAGGAGCACACATGAGGCTGATAGCCGACGCTGACAGGAGTCGGTAACCGGCTTAAACTGGAAGCGTCTGGAGGCCATGCTGCTGATCAAATGACCAGCCGGCGACCTCCGAGCCGGCAACAGTAGGTCATCACCAGCGCCAATAAGAGAAGCGGTTACGGTGTGTGCAGCTGTCAGCACGGGCAGACAAAAGAATTGGCGTAGTTCTGGAGCGGCGGCACACCTGAGCTCAACCCCATGCGCTATCATATGTGTACCTGCGTTTAACGCCATTTGCTAATTCGTTTTGTCGCTGCAGTCTACAAATGCGACCCGTATCATGTGCTTTTAGTCCATAAACTACGTTAGTACTGAATCTGACCGATACAGTGTACACCCTGGCAACCCAGGCTCGATCGGAATGGTATTGCAAATTAAAAACATGCTATAAATCCCCAACATAAACGCAAAACTGATTTGCCACAACAAGGTGAGACCCTAGTTTACTTCGAATTGCGTAGAGATAAAGGGAAATATTTATGCTTTTGTCTTCCAGTCACTTTTTTATTAACCGAGGTACTTGTGTGTACCCATAAGTCCAACGCTTCTAACTCTCGTTGTGACCAATAGATGCTCCAGAACGGGAACCACACGTACGGCACTGTCGAGGTTCTAATTTTGCACAGTCTACCCTTGCTGCTGACTGTCTTCTAGAACTTTTAAAACCAATAAATATTGCTGTCGAAACAATACTCAGAGTCGGACGTTACCACTCGCCGCCTGTCAGAATTCGGTGATAGCGGTTTCGTGATCTACGACTTTAAAAACTCAATTAGAAGTTATTTCACTTTACTGACCCCCTAATGTCATTTCTTCGTCCCCCTAGACCTAGTTCTCCAACCAACGACCCAATGTCGCCACCGAGCTCGCCACCGAAGGATAGAGCGTATTTCTCCGATGGTTATGACATTTTGGACGAAATCGAAACCAAACGGAAAAAGAAGGTCTACCGACAGTGGGAGCGGTCTTACGATACGCGCGCCTTCAATCTCACTTCGGATGAGCTGGTGAGATGGTCATGATTTGGCTCATGTCGCTCCATGCGTCGATCCAACCTATTTGTTTGCCCTGGCTGTGCCAAGTAGTATGCTCCCGGGTTTCCAAAGTCAATCAAATAGCCACACGTTTTCGCCATTAAATAACTGGGCGTGGCCACCGGTGTCAGTAACCAAAATTACACCCGGACTCATTTAGCCCCTTAACTCAATGAATGTTCCAATTCTGCAGTGATAATCGTGTATGTCGAATGTATCGTATGGACCGTAGTCAACTGGAGGTCATAGTTGGGATATTTGGCCACGTCAATAGCCATGCCCTCGGATCAGAGTAGCAGCTTTCATTGCATTGTACGACAGTACGACCGTCAATTTAGACGATGTCCACCATAGGGTCTCCAACAAGGTGAGAGCACGGATGAGGACTTGCGCATGACTCAGTTTATAGTGGTAGTAGAGTTGAGCAGCACCTGCCGCACTCTCTCCTCCCACCTCGACCCGGTATCAAGACAGAGTTAAAAAGACCGGACGTGGGAGAGAAAGCAAGTAGCGGACACGGTAAAACCCGCACCTAGGCGTACCACCACAAATATTTGACCATAATTTTTAACAACAACAACAACAACAACGAAGAAGAATGGTGACGGCAGAGATCCCAACAGGTGCGGCGTGATCCTGCGGCTGGGCCTGTCACTGCACGCCGAATGTTGGCATTCCCGATACCACCTGCCAGAATCCGATGCGGCCCCCGTGTTGGTCCGCCTCATCTGGCGCGTGGTTCGTTTTGGGGGCAAATTGCATTATACTACCATAGAACAACAGATCCCTTTTAATGGTTTAGAGCTAAATTGTCCCGTGTAAGACTTTCAATGAGCAATATAAGCATCCCTAAAGACTTTTATTGTGGTATTTACGGAGAAGAGACTTGTGCGCGACGGGTGTAATTCAAGCGTTTATCAGGCCTTTCTCTCAGTGCACTTAAATTATGGGACAACCTAGTGTTACTCATTCCTCTTGTAAATTCATAAAAAAATAGAAAATAACTGCTCTCGCCTCTTTCCCGTGGGGTCAAGTCATATTTGCTGTCCTCATTTCACTTTAGAAATCTCTTAATTTGAATGAAGGCCTTAATGAGGCAACGTTCACGGTCACCAGCAAGTATCAAGGAACAGTTTGCTGCCAATGTTTGATCTACCTTTGGAAATCTACTGATAAAATTGTGATATCAGATATCGATGGGACAATAACAAGGTAAGCAGACATCCACATGAATTATTTGTTAATTACCTTTGATGCCAAGCGTGCGCCGTTTATATTTACCTTCTGTGGTTCCTGGGCATGACTAAGCGACACAATTTTATAGACGAACATTCAAAACAGTCCTCTTTTGCGTGTAACGTGACGTTATTATCGGTTATCCTTAAACCATCAATAAGGATCGGTGCATGAGCCACTGAACACCAGTTATACATAGTTTGAACGCTAAAAATCGCAGCCAACAAGGTACGAACCCTCGGTTCAGATGGTAGACTGTCTGACTCAAAAGTCAATTGATCGGGGGTTCACACCACGGCCATATCGGTCTGGGTTCGAGGAGTGGTTTGTCGGCCAGAATGAATAAGCCATAAGTGGTCGTCCCAGTTTGTACAGTTTTTGTTGGCGATATTGTACAAAGACTAACTGATCCTCATTACATGGTCACCCGTAGTGATGCTAGATCAGTGAACCAAGGCAAAACTGGAAGCCAAATTCCATCCTTCAATCGGATCAAGTCCGTAAACGCCACTGTCCCATGGTCATAAAATAATTATTGTTTCTGATATTACCAGGAATTATCCAAGGTGGGAGGAACAATTCTCCCGTTTATCCAGACTCGACCAAAGGTAAAATGTCACCAGGCATACCCTGTGCGACCAATTTCAGATCATTCTTGTGTCCCCCAAAAGAACTGTGCTGCTGTTGTTCTGGCCAAAACCGGGCCGTAGTGACTTATGAAATGCATTTTTCACGCCTATATCGCACTGTCTTCTCCTCCCCCACCTGGGCCCGGTGTCATGACCAAATCAAGAAGACCGGAGGTGGCTGGCGCGGCTGGAGCAACCCATAGGCATGACGCTACACGTGGCTCGAGTCCCACTAGGAGAGGATGCCGTATAGGCCACGTTAAGGAGGAGCCAGTGCAGTCTGACCCTCAGTCAGCCAGGCCACACGAGGCTCACTGTGAGGTCCAAGTTATACCCCATCAGTTGGCAACGATCCAAGTCACGGCTTTTAGTGCGCCATGATAGCTTCATGCGCGTCAGATTGCTTGTAGGGAGGAAGGTTCTCTGATACATCGACCTCACTCTCTATTCCCATTCTCACGACCCAGTCATTGTCAGAACCGGTCAGTTATCTGGTGCGGAGAAGGGGCCTAGTGGCTGACATAGCTAGTGACCTCGTCTGCGCGTGCCACGTGTACAACCTGCCCATCTCCAGTCAAAAGCACGGGGATTTCAAACAAGAGATGATGGGCTGCATGCAGTTCGTATGCCTGGAAGTGACGGAGGTCAGGTTCAGAGGGAGTCGTTGCAGCATGACTCTTAGCACACCACTCCGCACAAGCACACGGGGTTGATTGCGAGGTCTGACTTCCATCGCCAATTAGCAATCTTCCAGGCCACGGCGCTTGGCGCAGCTTGATAGTCTCAGGCTCGTGGGCACTTACCTACCGTCACAAATATTCATTACAGGCCTTAGATGGAGGCTGACGTCACGCTAGCCACCGCATCTCATCTCGTCGTCCGTCAATTGAAGGACTTGTAGAACCCACAGGTGCATGGGGATGGGAAAAGGGAGTGAGGTCGAGGCAGTTCTGCCGCGGTGCTCCACACCTCTATACAAATAAGCTAACGCGTTCCAATACTAACATGACTCATCCTACCTCCTTAGTGAACGCTAGCGATGTTGGAACTGCAAAATAACAAAATTGGCTCAGTTGATTGATGCTGTCTGCGTTTTGACACCCCTGACCCTGTGGTACATTTAAAGGACAAACGCAGTTGCGCTGTTTTTCTTTAATACGAGATAGACAATGTCACGTTATACCCGCACAAAGTTGGGTCTGATGCCAACGATTCGACTCCGCCCTGGTGCATTCATTCAAGTTTTGCACTTGGTGAAAGCCTATCCTTCTCTTATTTTGACGCAGGTCCGACATACTTGGACATCTCATGCCATTGGTAGGTCTTGAATGGATCCACAATGGCGTGACGCAACTCTATAGAGAGATTTCGCAGAACGGATTCCATATCATGTACGTTTCGGCACGAGCTATCGGACAGGCAAATGCCACGCGGACTCTGCTTGAGGATCTTGTGCAAGAAAATGAAGGTCTCCCACCCGGTCCCATTATACTCTCGCCGAACTCGGTGATCAAGACCATTGACATGTGAGTTACGTGACTGTATCTGCCCGACAGGCAGTATATGACATAAGCTGAGCTAAGACAGAGAATGCAAGTCTGCAGCAAGTAAGACTGGCCAGTTAACCTCTCTGCATGTTGACATCTGCGTCGAAGCATACTCTACCCCGCCAATTTTCGACGTTGACTCCCTAGGTTGTTGTAAAACATATATCAAATGTGCAAGACAGTTAGGTTTAGGGATAAATGGTCGGGTTATCTGATTTTGAAGGGCTGCTCGGACTTCCTTAAAAGGGCAGATACCAACAATCTGAGCTTTGCTCGGACAGAAGTGTGTTCGGTATTTACGGTATTCTAGGCGACGTTGCAGGTACAGTCGTCTCTTTGTTGGCAGTTGGTAGTCAGACGTGTGCTTGAGAGCGTAACTTGGTCCGAGCCGAAAACTCGGCTAAATCGCAGTTCGTAGTCAGGAATTGAGAAGCGGACGGCGACCTTAATCCTAATCCTAACCTCAACCTTAAACGTTAACCTTTAACCCTACCGGCGACCCTAACCCTAACAGAAATCGTAAACGTAACCGTAGCCCTTAGACATAGCCGTAACTGGAAAAACTAACCGTAATACTGAAGCCTAATCGTACGCTCAAACCCTAACCGTAACCCGAAAACCTAAGCCTAAAGGCATAACCCTAACCCGGAAATCATCAACCGGTACCCTAGTCCTAACCTCAAACGTAAAACGGAAGCCAAATGGGTAGGATGTGATGATGGAAGCCCACAAAATAGCTCCAGTAAACAAACCCCCAGTCACCTGTAATACGGGGCCTGGCTACCAACTGCGATCTAGCCGAAAACGTCCATCATCGGGACGGTTAGTTTTTGACCATATAAGCTCCATTCCTTCTTAGCGCCTGGTGACTTCCCCATAATTTTTGTGGTAAACTAATGGGCATAATGATCCACCAGTATTAATGTTTAATAGGACATTTGGAAATGGAGATTTCTCTTCAAAATTCTTCTTGAGCGAAATATTATTCCCTGGGGAGGTTGGCAATTTTCAGACTATACCTCTTAGCGTCAACAAATTCGTCATCTACATGATGCAGACACTGTTTGGGGTTAAACAAGGAAAAAACGTGTGTGTGAGTAAATGCCTTTAATTTTTCGAAGAGTTTCAATGCGCGTTTGAAAGCCGCATTCGCCTCCTACACACCTACATAACGCACTCAAATCCAACGGAACTAGCAATTGATCAGTCAAATCAAGACGACCTGTTTTTTGCCAGCGGTTAATATTTGCGTTCCTTTATGCATAACTGCTTGTGCTTAGGAAGAATGGCAAAGCCTCACACTCATCACGCCCGTAAGTCGCTAGGAGCTCATGCATAGTGGTTTTTCTTAGAAGATTTTGCAAGTTGCAACTTGAATTGAATCAAATGATGAAAAGACGATCAAAGACTGAACTGGAAACAAGAAAAATGAGCCAATCTGTTATTACGGCGCGTTAAAACTCTTTTTCTCCACCAAGAAACATCATCAACCGTTTGAGGTACCAAGTTGACTTTGAAACATCTAACTTACTTGTATACTTTTATGCACAAATTTATTTTAATAGATTCCAATGCAGAGGTAGAGATACGCTAACATTCGGGAGCTGCATCACAAATCGGGTAGTATTATTTCCAGTTTGCACAAATTTGGCCTAATTTGAACGACTTCGCCCTAAGCTAGAGCTGGTAGCCCGTCCATTACTAACCACTCTGATCATACTCATCAACGTTTGTAATTTGGGTGGAATGCTTTGGTTATCGGCGCTATGACGTATCCGGAGGTGATCGACGAGTCCAGACAGTTTACTGCTAACAAGACAGCGAATAACTCCGTCAGTAATAATCAGTCAAAGATCACCAACGAAAACCAACCTTCACCTGATTTCAATAAAAACACGCCTGGTGTTTTTAAAGCCTGTCCTGAGTATTTGAATGCCACACTACGAAGTTATGTTGCAGAAACTGTTGTTTAGACCTCATTCCGTCTAACTTTATATGAGGTTGGTTTTCAAGATATCACGGACTGGGAAATTTCGCGTTTCAATATAAACATTGTTGGTGGTTATTGATGGACAGCTTTCCATGTGTTGCATGAGAAGTTCTCAACTTTCAGCACGAACTTTGACGTTGCCGGAAAAAAGCTCCTCTTTGACGTACAAATCCTTACTGACATACTATCGAATCACATGCTGACTTCTGAGATGCTGAGAAGTCCACATTCTCTTGCCCAGGTTTCCTACCATCAGCTTCCTCTTTCCGTATTGAGATGATCTGCACTCGTACATCTCAACAAATCCTAGTGTGGAGAATTTTCCACTTCTGGAATGTTTTGCGTCGAAACAAAACATGCTCCCTTAATTTAGTCACAGTCTCTCACACCGCTGTAGCTCGGTCGATAGCAATTTAGTGTTTTTGACACAAGCCAACACACGCGTTAAAAATTAAATACCATAGAGTGGATATGCATGAATTCACATCCGTATCGTAACGATGCGGAAAACTACTTAGCGACTTCCCGACGATTTGAGAATTCACATGCTGCTTGGTTCAAACTGCCCACCGTTGTCCTGCCTCCCCTCCCCCCGACAATCTGAGTTGACATTTTTCGACAAATTTCCGCGCGTAAGAAAATCCCTTCCCAATCGTACGTTTTTCCTCTAACCATTTCATGCGGCCCTTCTTTTAACCGCAGGAAAAATTACTTTGCTCAAGGTTATAAGCCTAACGTATCTCGTAGTTTTACTAGCCAGCATTTTCTTGACTCAGGCAAGATCAAATCAAGGGACGTTGGTCCGTAAGATTCTCATGGACAGCTGACCCCTAGAATTACTGTCAGATGCTCCATCTTTGACCCAACGCAACAACGCTTGCCGTTCGCGCGAAGTGGCCGATAGCTAGATTTTTCAATACGACCTCAAAATGTAGACTTACGAGAATTTAGGAACGCTTCTGAGTGTTTGTCTGAATAATAGGCTTTTCTTGTGATTCACAGAACGAACAATCGCGTAATTTAGCGTAGCTTTTAGCCGTGGCTGAAATGGTACAGCGCCGGCAGCGAAGTCAGGTAATGTTGGAGATATGTATAGCATCCTGCTAGAAAACAGCATACACGGAAGGCCAGAGAACCCTTGGAGGAAAACGGCCGGTCGGTCACACTGACGAAAAGTAGTGGACGCTTCCATAAGCATAAAAACTTTAAATTGGCGTGATACTATCTCGTCCTAACTGATACTTCGCTCATTTTGTGCAGGGAGGTGATAAAGAAAAGACCCCAGGTTCTGAAGATTAAGAACTTGAAGAGAATTCTCCGACTCTTTCAGAGGGACGATGACACAGTCAACCCCTTCATCGCCGGGTTCGGCAATAGAGTTAGCGATGAGGACACTTACCGTGCCGTCGGGATCCCAGACGCGCACATATTCATTGTCAATCCTCGTGGTGAGATAACGACACCGTTGGGTGTTGATCTGAAGTTGGGCTACAAGGAGCTCCACGAAATAGTCGACTCTGTGTTTCCGCCCACTTTCGGACGGATGGAGCACAGTAACGACTACTCCGACTTCACTTACTGGCGCCCAGTCCAGATACAGGAGACTGAAGTTGAAAGCCCGCCACAGGCATCCTCCAGTCCCACAGGCAGCAAAAGTGGCCTCTTTTTCTAGAATCCGACTTCCCTACACCGACATCGCCCTCAGGAAATTTGATCACATTTGCGCCAAAAAAACGTCGAATTTTGCTAAATCAAGACGCTACCAAGGATGGACAAAACTCAGAATTGTTCTTATATGCATTTTTTTTATTGATTTTTTTAAGAAAATGTACACATGATGGCCGTGTTTGACACCACACAGCAGGGTTATTTCTAAATGTTTAATCTGGGTCTTTTGCCGCTCCGCGATGCTTCAGATTCTAGCCTGTAAAAGGTGAAGCATATAAAATATTCAGTGACGTAAATAGGCAACAGACAAATCCAAGACAAACTGGAAAGAATTAGCGGCTTATTAAAGTTAGGAGTCCTATTAAGTGGAAAATTGTCCCTCCCATTACAGGGGTTAAAAGAACCGTAAAGTGACAATTAAAATATAGGACCACATGATTGAGATGAGATGCAGCGATGACTTAGTCTAAATCGTTTGACATGCGATAGTGACGCAAGATTGCTACCTTCCTGGTAGGAATAAATTGCCCGAGGCACGGAAAACGGCCCACGAGCAGCAGAGATGCCGCTATTCAAAGGGCTAACTGTGCGAATGCCTCGATCACATACCCGTCGCCATATGACCACCCAAAAACACCTTTGACTGGCCTTACGGGCTAAACGTACAAAGAGACTGTGGGTGAGGCATTTTTTGGCATTCGCTGGAGACGAACTCGAGCACGAATTCAAGACTTCAAGCAAAGAGACCTACTTTCCCAGAGAATGAATTTCTCCGATCGTCGCCTTAGCTGTACAGCGCTGACAGCGTTTAAAGTACTGACATGGCCGTCAGGCTTGATAATGGTCAATTATAGACCTTTTAGTCTCTGTGATTGCAGGTTTCCGGAAAATCGACATTTTTTAAACATTTATTTACAGAAGTTAAATCAGATTCTCAAGACCTTCCAAGGACAGAGATTATGTACACAATTTCAGCCTCAAAAAAACACACGAAAACCCATAGTATAACAAACCCACTACCTCTCCATGATGCATGGAAACATTTCTAAAAACAAACAGCCGAGGAGGCTGAGGCTTTTGTAGGTAGGACATGGGAAAAGAAACCCCTCGCCCGTGCTACGGGTGGTCTTGCGCTAAATTTCAGGGAGACTGGGGTTAAGATTGGGACTATGGTTAAGGTTTGGGTTAGCGTTAGGACGCGGGAACAGGTACACTTCCTGGAATCTAGCAGAGGTTCCTATTCCCACGTCTTAAGCCGTTGCTGGTTAAAATTAGTCAGTTAAATGAATAGTTTTATTGTGCACGATGGACATGCCGTCATTCTGTGTTGTTAAGCGTCCACAGCTTCTCAATATAGCCCAGTGCCTCGTAAACTTTCCCTGCATTTCCTTGTCTTCTCATGCCGATATTGTTACGATGGCAAGGAAGGGCCTGGCCCTAAATCCTGAGGAGGCCTGACTTACCTCATCAATCAATAGCCTTCCAAGCCACGACTCCTGTCGCATAGTGGTATGTTTAGGCGCGTCAGACTTACTATAGCGGCGAATGAGCTGATTTGTCGTGGGAACTAATTCCTCCCCATCGTCGGGCTCTCTTCTATCATGCGCCAATCTACTGTCCGATCCTGTAAAGTAAGTGGCAACGAGACTCCCAGGAGGCCCAGCCCCAAATAAATGACGCGCCGCTCACATGAGTGAGATGTGCGCATGACGACTCGCCAGTCTATATAGACGCAGACAGGTTGCATCGCATGCATACTGCATAGATTATGGGGGTGACGATACAATACTATGTACCTTCCACTGTGTCACAGTCCTGGAGTATGGAGTATGTGAAAAGCAACATGTACGATTTATTGTTAGTCCTCCAAACAGGATTTCTTCCATCCGGCTGTCGCAAGGTGGGTCTTAATTCGGCAATCCAAATAATTCGACTTCATGTGGGATCACGCCACAAACATCGTTGTGTCACACAATCTATCCTTGTCTTAAGCTTCTCTCAGAGCACCAAAGCGAATCGAACGTCCAGATACTGTGAGCTGTCCGTTAAAGCGTCCTAATGCGTGTAGACATACTGAGAATCTACACAGTTTGTGTGACGAAGGTCTAGATACAGAAAAATTTGCCCTCGCTGTCTTAATTAGCAGTCAATCTTCTAGAGCGCCCACTTTCCCGAGGTCATTGGGAATACCCAGTTATCTCACACCGAATTGTCCAAGTTGGGCAGCCTTTCTGGCAATCAGCACTGCTTTTCTGATTCAAAGTCCACAACCCGCGGCACACCGCAGTCCAACGACCCGTTAAAAACGGCTACAGCCTAGTCATTTCAGTGGTCCACTGCATCAATGGCAGTCTTACCGGCGATTCCGACAATATCCACTGTGCGCTCCACAACAGGGTGGGAGCAAGGACGGTGACTTGCGCATGAATTAGTTTACAGTGATAGTGGACGTGCGCAGTGTCTGCCGACCTCCTTCTCTCCACATGGGCGCGGTGCCGTGATAAAGACAAAATGACCGGCGGCGGGAGAGGGTTCAGGTGACTGGCACGACGAAACCTAACCTAGGACACGGAAAAGTGGCCAGGATTCTACACAACGGAAGGCAGTTCGTATCCAAACTGAGTGGGAGTGCCATTAAGGCCGCATTAAGAAGGAAGCATTGTACCCTGACTCTCTGTCCTCCGAGGAGGGCCGAGTTATCCCATTACTTGATAGCCTTCCAAGCCACGGTTTTCAGCACAGCCGCCTGGCAAGGGAGACTTTGGCGCGACACGGCAGAAGAATGACTAGAGTACTTATGCATGACTGCCATCAAAGACTGCAACGCTGCAGCCAAGAAATCAATCAATACAAGTCACAAACAAACACTGCACTTCAACAGCAATCACACCCTCTCTTACGAACGCTGCTGTGTCCGTCTCTACTCCAAAGGGTTGAAACACACTGCAGCACACCAGCGGACAAAGGAGCTGAACGACAATACCTTCACGACCTTTTCGGACCAATGGATACTCAAGCTACTTTATCAAGCGAAGCAAGCGCCGAGTGAACAGACGACGGCCACAAGAGGAGCAACCCGAAGTCTGGAGGATTATTTCTTACACTAAAGGAGTCTCCGAGGCGGTTCCACGACTTACAACCCGCCAGAGTAGGCATAGCCTATTGACCCCAGGCAACAATTTGTCACCGTTTGATGCAACCCAAAAACACTGCCACCAACAGAAACCTCAGTAGCTGTCTACCAAATAAGTTGTAACGATGGAGACTGCAAATACGTTGGGGAAAACATACGGGAATTACAGACCCGCCTACAAGAGCACAAACTGGCAACTCGGAGACCAGACCCGAACTCACAGCATGCGACTTACATAGGACAACTTGGAACAGTTTTGACTTTCAAGGAGTGACCGTCTTAAGTCGGGGCATCTCAAGGACAGAACGTCTTACACATGAGGCTTGGTACTCAGATGCCAACTATATCAACAGGCATCTAGACCTTACTACGGCCTATAAAAGTCCTACGTCACTACATACGCCACGACTGGGACAAGACGGTCACAGGAAATACAAGAATACCGAGCGAACACGGCCTGCCAACTGATTCGCCCAAAGGGGGAGCACACGTGCAACCGACCACATTGAGGTGACGACATAAAACGCAGGAGGCCGCCGAAATTCACAGAAACAGTTAGAAGACAAGGCACCGAAAGAGGGAGGAAAAATCGACCGTTTTTTTCAAAATTCTGGTCGATTTTTCGCACAAAGCGCTTTGTTGATGGAGAGGCAGCCGAGCCCTCCAAAAAGTCAGCCGCTCAATTCCACTGATCCGGTGAGCCCTTCACATTTCTCGCACACGGGAACACCTGCAAGGCATTAACGAACGACTGGTCATCGTTCATGCGTTGAAGGAGTGTGGCTGTCACGTGAGTTCTCCCATGCATGATCGATGAGGACATTTAAGGCAGGCAGACACGCCTGACGAGTCGTTTCTATGGCAGATGAGCCTGCCCTGTAATGTGGGTCTGAGAAGTGGTCCTTAAGTTCTTTGTCTTAGCCAACACTTCGTATGTCATTCGCCGTCGTCTGACAGACCGGTAAATGGGGGGGGGGATTTTCGGTCCAATGTGTAAACGGAGATCAACGCGAAATTTCGACATTTACCTTGCACGGGCTGACCTGAGATTTATCTTCTGCAGTTTTTCATTCAGTTGCATGAGCTTACGCTTCAGATGGGCCTCAACTTTAATCAGTGATGTATCAGGATCAAGACTTGCAGTTAGGGCAACTACCCATACCTGATCCCAAAAGGTGAAATGAAGTACATGAAACTTACGGAGAGGCAGACTGCGGCTCCTCCTTCTTTTGGGGCTCATCTTCAACGAGGATGGATGATGAGGAGTTGATATCAGTCGATTCCATTTCCATTGACTTCGCCCACGTGAGGATTTGGTGATTCCGTGATTGATCGAAGATGTAGTCTAAGACGGCGAGTTGTTCCTCAAGTCGGTTGAACCGTTGGTAGTGACGGACTTTACAACGAAAAAAAGGCGTACGTTCGTAAAACTGGAGCAAACTAAGACCGGGACAGCGCAGTGGGGTTATAGTTCGGGCTGACAATAGGCATAAATGGCAATAGTGAAACCGCTGGAAAGTCAGACCTTCCATTAAAAAAACGTGCGTTTATTTGGGAGCTGACAAGCCGGCTAAAAGTGATGAGGGCGAAGCCGGTGACAAACAAGAGAGGAACGACTATTGCAGTGCCTGCCACCCCTGCCGGCAATACTCCTCGATTACTGATTACTGGTCGTTATGCATGGCCTCAATACCCAGGGCGCCAAAGCAAAGAGAAATTGTCTATGCCCGCGCTGCAAGCAGGGATCGGTGAACGAAAATCGTGCATAGGCAGCAATCACGAAGTTTTGCTCAACAACCCGACGCACCATGCAATAAAAGGGTTATGTGCTACGCCTGTTTGCCCTGTAGACGTTAACAGCATTAACGTGG